GCTTGTTTGGTCTTTGGCGTGGGCCATGCACCTGCAACTCTCCCCTGCCTCCTCACACCGCCCCCTCCCAGTACCAGGTTCCCAGGGAGGTGGGCAGGCCCCTTCACTCCAGGTGACCACTGCGTCTCTTCAACAAGGCTCAGGGGACGAGGAGGCTCTGTGGGCCTACCCTCCCAAAGCAGGAGTGAGCTGGCGCAGAAGCAGCTCCCACGAGACAGGTGGTAGATGATGGCATCCAATGGGCCCGTGATAATGGCCAGCTGTGGACTGATGGGGACCTGAACAGACAACGTTCAGCAGGCAAGAGGGGTGAGGTGCACCCCATCCAAGCAGAGCATGGCCCGGCCTCCCGGGACAGGGCTAGGATGTGGTTTTCCCTGGCACTCTATCAGGACCCACATATTTGGAAATTTATTCCCCGGTCAGTGCCCTCCCAGTCCTTCTGACTGCGTCAGGGGGAAAGTTCCGTGCGGTTGCCAGTATGTCGCAAACACTTCCCCAGCACTCCATAATTTCCCCTTCTCACACACAGGAAGAGTGGGCGGCTTCTTCACAGACTCTGGCAGACAATGAAATCCAGTTAGGGTTTGATGACCTTGTTGTGTCTTCAATGTATTTACTTTCACAGTGACTTTTTGTTCGGTATAGAATAATTGGTTTTCTGCGTACAGGAGGGCACAAAGTTTCTGTTTCAAGTTATTTAATTTGAGGGAAAATGTCAGCTAATTTAAAGAAAAAATATGAAATAAGATACCATGGGAGGTGTGTTTAAGATAAAAATTTTAAAAAATTAAAAAAGCAAAAACCATGCAGAGGGTATGTGGTTTTTCATGGTTCTGACAAAAACCGGGCCTCGGATCACTGATCTGCCAGACATACTGGGGTGAGCCCGAAACCAAGGTGAGGAACCACACGAGGCACCTTCCAGAAGAAAAGGAGCCCGTCCAACCTCAGCAAGAGCCCAGGGCATATGTGATGTCATCAGAAGATGAGGCTGGAAATGTGAGCCGAGGCCAGCCTGTGGAGAGCCCTGAGGCTGAGTGGACATATGAGGGCTTTCATCTGTGACTACCGGGAAGAACCCCGAGATGCCTCCAGCCCACTTCACTAGTAGGAGGGAGCCGGTCCCAACACTGGGCCGGCCTGGGTGGGGGAGGGGAGAGGAACTGGGGCATGTGGACTCTGAGGCAGAGAGGCCAGGGAAGCAGCCTGACCTGCCTCAGCTCTGTGGGTCACAGTGAGCCCTTGAGAATGGACCCGGCACCCCCAGGAGGATGGGGCTTACCATGAAATTCTGTATGTGTTGAAGGCCCCCGCAGGGCTGAGAAGGGAACAAAGTGTGGGACAACACAGCTAGCCTGGGAGGCAGGTGTTAAGCGCAAACAGTCTTCTACGATAGAGATACTTACCACCATATATGGAAAGAAAACTTCTAGGGAAAAGGAGGAAGAGGAAAAAAAAAAATTGGAATAGGCTTAAAGCAAAAAAGAAAAAAAAAAATACCTAAAGATAGCCTAAACAAAACACACCCAGGCCCTCGCGCCTGCCTCAGTCTGCAGGCCATATGGTGTGCGATAAGCCGGAGTGCTTTTATTTACCTTCCTCTTCTGTCTACAAAGCCGAGAGCCAGCCCTTCGAGAAGGCCCCACTTGCAGCAGAGGCCACACCATGCTCTCATGCCCAGATGACCGGCTCCCAGTCCCCAGTCCCCGCTCCAGGAGGCCACCCGCTGCCACTCCCTCCCCACCCTTGCTGCTTGCCTCAACCCCACAAGGGCCACAGCCTCCCCAGCTGTTTTCCCATAAAGGACACACCAGGGCCAGGCCTGCTGCCTCCTTGGCCAGCTGGGCCACTGGGCCACACCGTGTACCATCAGCCAGCTCAGAAGTGTTCGCCCTAATGGACAAACTGGCTGCCTCTGCCACTCACCGCTGTCCTCCGCTGCCTCCCAGACAACCAGTGAAGAAACTTCCCTGATAGCTATGAACGATCGGCCGCCCAAGTGCCACTGAACAGGGATGCTGAACCATAATGGCCGCTGGGCCTGGGCCATCCTGGTGCGCCCCACCACCCCCAGGTCCTTCTATGAGAAAGCCACCCAGTACTAACCACATCCAAACTTCTCTAGGTCCCACGTACTGGACTGCTCTCCGGCTCTTCTGGCTCTTCTGGCTCTTCCCCAGGACAGCCCAAATCATCAGAGTTGCGTGCACTCACCCTGTGCTCCTGAGCTACCCGCACTCTCGAGCATCTGGGGACCACTGCCTTGAGCTCTCCTCCTGATAGCCACGGTTCCTTTGTGGCTTTAGACTTTTTTTCCTTTTTTAATTCTTTTTGTGTTCTACACGCTGACACAGAGGTAAAAGAAAATGACACTTAAATATGAAAGAACTCTCTGCCATTAAATCTGTAGCTGTACACATTTATCTCACACTCTGGTGAAAAATCACCACCATTAGGGAAAAGGACACATCACATCATGGAAGGTCCAGAAAGCTCACGGAAGAGATACATCCAAGTATGAAAGGACTGCACTCTTGGTGCCTTCACATCCTTCTTGTCTGTGTATTTAGGGACGACTCACTGTCTCCTCGGAGAAACACATCCATGACCTTATTCTATAAGTGTCCATCCAGGAATTCTGCTGTCTGCTCCAAGGCTGTGCTCACGTAGCCATCCAGGCAAGCCATTCCAGAATTTCACTCTAGCACAACTTGGTGTCCAGTTATTTGCTTTAAAAGCTCCCTGGGGGAGGTTTCCAGACTCACCCTCAGGAAAGGGCTCTCAGGGCCAGTGAGCACAGAGCTCCTGGTGTCCCAGACACCAAGGAGCAAGCATGGGCATGGGGATATGTAGGGGACCAGTTGCCCCACAGGCTCCAGAGTCCATGCTCCCACTGGGCCTCTTTGAGGGCTCTGCAGCTCACCCAGGGGAAGGGAGCCCCTGTCAACCATGTTTTGATCCAATGGAGAAGTGCCAAACTGTGGGGTGAAGGGTATGGAGAAGGTTGAATCCTCCAACAGAATGCCCAGTTAAATCTGAATTTCAGATAAACAACAAATCATTTTTTCTATTAATTATTTTTATTAACATATAATGTATTATTTGCCCCAGGGGTACAGGTCTGTGAAACTTCACAGCACTCACCGTATCACATACCCTCCCCAATAACAACAAATCATTTTTAGTGTAAGTTTAACCCATGTACTCTTCTGGCTTCAACAAGAAAAAATGATTTGCTGTTTATCTGACTTTTGGATTGAATAAGCAAGTCATTATGTTTCTTTGCTAGACTCTGGTAGCCCTGGCTATCAGGAAGTAGCAGGACCAACGACCCTGGGCAGCCCAGCTCTTCTCCCCATTTACCCTCAGAAGCCACCACAGAAACAGCACCACCTCTTGCCAGCACCTCATTACCGCTATTCCCTGAGTGCACTCTGCAAAGGCCTGCAGGCTCTTTGGGGCCCTGTCTTGAGCCTGTGACATGGAAGGCAACCATTCTGCCAAAACAAAAAGTCAAGTCTCCAAGAGCCCGGAAGGAAAGCATTTGTGGAAGAGACCCAGCATGAGGAAGCCTGAGGAAAGATGCCCCACATCTAGGAAGTATGGGGACACCAAGCACAGGCACTGAAATGTCTCGTGGTGTTCAGATGTGAGCCTGTCCTGGGCAGCCTCACAACCTCAAGGGCACGCATGAGCCCATGTAATCTAAGACCTAGACACATGAGTGGCTGGTTGGCTTAAGAGAAGTAGGAACCACTTTATAAATGGCCTTCACGGGGCCACAGGGCAGCTGGTCTGGGCAGGCCCAAGCACGATCCTGGCAAAAGACATAGTCCAGCCCCCTGAAAAGCATCTTGGGGGCACGGACTCATGGGCTCTAGGCCAGACCAAGTGCCACAGATATGGGGGGCATTTCTCTATATACGATCCAGAAGCCTCGAGAAGCAGCTGTTACTCTCCCACTCTGGCACTAGCAACTCAATCACAGAATGAGATTCGAATCTGTCGACTATTTTTACTATTGTCCAGAAAGCCACTGGCTAATGTTAGGTTGAACTACATGAAAATACCATTTTTGTAAGTCAGGAATATTAGAATACTGGCAATTACATATGGCCCAAACAGATGATAATGCTGAGTGCCTACTGGGGGGTCAGACTCCATGCAAGATCCTTTTAGTAACTGTGCCCATTTTAGAGATGCAGAAACTAAGACACACAGAGTTCAAAGTACTCATCTAGCTAGACACACACCAGGTCTGTGTGACTCCAATGGCCATATTCATTTTACACACTGTGTAGCAGGTTCATGTGGCTCCTTCCCTCTTGTGCTCTCTGCCTGTGGGTCAGTGCCTGACCATTCCAGCAGCCCTGGGCACCACCAGGACTCCCACCCTGCCAGCACTGTCTACACAGGGGCCACTCCTGAATTAGCAGCAAAGTGTATTTAACAAACAATCTTAAGAGGGAAAAAACATTTGAAAGTTTATTTAGAGAGAGAGGGAAGAGGGGCCAAAAAAAGCACTCCTAAAATAAACAGAAAGTAATCAAGGGATAAAACCCAAGTCCCACTAGTTTTAAAATGCCTTAACCGTGACTCTGAGCTAATGTGTAGTGGACCACTGAGAAAGCCATCAGGTGCAGTGTGACCCAGGACCACTGCATACCCAGACACAGGGACTTCTATGGCTCTCCTCTGAGTAGACCACAGAGCTTCAAAATGGGAAGAGGATGTGAAGGCGCCCAAAAGGACAAGCCAAGATCAGGGAGTGTCACTGTTCTCCTGGCCCACTATAACTCCCCTCAGAGGCTGAGACGAGCACAGTAAGATAAAAGGACTGTCAGACTCCAACTTGAAAAGAAGAAATGAATGTTCTCCTCCTTATGAAATAAAATGTTAGAAATCCGAACATACGTAACACACAATAAAAGTAGGTTCCACTAGTTCTAAACGAATATCCACAGAGATCAAAGTGGGAGAAGAAAAAGAGGACTGACCTTCACATGGGCCACGTAGTGATGACACGTCTCCTCCATGTGGACCAACTGCAGCTTCTCTGTGATCTGACCCAAGGACTCTCCCAGCAACACAAAGTAGACTCTGGGCAACTGGCCCTTTGCCTTTTTGGCCACATCAGCCGTCAGAACGTAATTGAGGCCTGCCAATAAATAAGGACAAGACATCAGGGAGGACTCACATGTGGGATCAGGGCCACCTGCACTCCCCCCTCCCAAGCTTGCAAGCACACTTTGTATGCTACCTGCCTCCCCACTGCAACCAAGGGCTGCAGCCCAAGTCAACACCTTCCCGGAAAGAAGCACGGAGCCAGCGTCCTCTCAGAATCAAGAGACGATGAGGCCGCCCCTGTCTTCCCAGTGATTCTCTGTGTATCACACGCCATGGCTCTCCCTGTCTCAAACCCCATGAGTTACCACCTGTGTCACCCACTATACACAGCAGTAATTAGAGGTACCTAGCACGGTCGGCATCCTGAAAAGAAGACACTGTGGTAAGCCGACAGGATTTGACTAGAACCCGCAGAAATTATCACGGCTACACATAACCCTGAGTCCTATAGCGCAATGAGACAGACACTCAACACAAGGGAGCAATTACCCAATAATCCCCAGATGTTCACGTGCGCTCTGTGATGGCGACATCCCTTGGACCTTGTGTCATCACATCCCCCGAGCACCGACTACATGCCAGGTACAGGGGACAGGGCAGTCCTGCTCTTCCTCTGTTTACCCTCTGAGGCCACCACAGAAACAGCCCCACAGAGCCCTGCCCTCTTGGCACTTACACTCACAGAAACTCAGACCAAGGCTAAAGCTGACTTAATTCCCAGGGAGCTGAGTATATGGATGGTGTATAGTAGTGCGCCTGTCATTTGAACAGCATCAAGAGCACGGTGGGGCTTGTGCTCAGGCATACTGAGCCGCACTCCTGAAGAGGAAAACTTCTCGCCTGTTCCTGAACACATAACATCAGTGGGCAAAACCTACCGGGACACAATCTGAAACTTAAAAAAAAAAGGGCACGATACAAGATGTGCATTGGATAAATGCAAAAGGTCTTACGTTCCTAATTTCAGAGTCAGTCAGTCACCCTACAACAATGTGCGTCATTAGGCAAATTGGGCATTGGTGTCAACACACCTATTTCTCTGTTTTTTTGTACCAGAACTGAGATCAGTCCTCTGGGACCCTTTCTTATTTTTTAACTGCTTTGTGGATTCAGGGGAATGTGGCACATTTAAAGTGAGAGAGGGGGAACACTCTGTCCCCAAAATGAGCAGATGAGGCTGCAGAGCCATGAAAAATAGACCCTGTCCCCACGAACCAGCCCCTTGGAAGCTGCGGCTCTTGCCCCTGTAAAAGCAGCCCACACCTGCCCACATTTAAGTATGCAAAGCAAGGCAGTGAGGATGGGTCCGGCTTTAATAACATCAAAGGCATCAGCCACCGGTTAGGTCCGAGCCAGGAAGGAGGAAAGGGACCAGGACAGGCGTTCTGCAGCTGCCATGGGGTGTATTTTGGATGCATCTAATGGTTTTCCTGGGCCTCTGCCATCTCGGGGATCTTGCTATGCCGAGCTGGCGGATTCCTGGTCAGCAAGGGCCGCCCTGTCCCAACATGTTTACTTCAGCAAACAGCTGATTGCCAAGGCAAGGCTGGGTCACCAAGGGACCTGAGACCTGGATAATCCAAGGCAATATAACAAAGAAGAAAAGAATGCCTTTGGGAAAGTAACAAGACAGAGAAAACACGGGAGCCCAAACAAGAGTTACACACCGGCTCCTTTGGCGACACCAGGTAACGGGGCAGATGCATAGAATGTCAAAGCTTCAGGGTAATTGAGGGACCACCGGGCTCCAAACCTTCATTTTTCAGATGAGGAACCAAGGTCCCAAAAAGGAATCAGGCTTGTTCCGGTTCAGAGGGCCCTCCACCACAGAGCTGAGTCCAGAACTCTCCTAACCTCCAGTGCAGGGCTGTTCCTACCATGCTGATTCTTGGGGCAAGTTTTACATTTTTTGAATGCCCAGACAGCAGAACCCAACACATGCAGTGATTCAGAACTGAACTCTGGCCTATTTACTTTCTTCTCATCACAATTTCCCCAAGGAAGAGCCAAACAGTAAGAAAGGATAAGTATAAATGGACTGTGTTTCCAAGTTCTGTTTAGAAAGTCCAGAGCTCAGGATGGGAATTGCTGGAAGACAAGCCAGCCTACGGCTGGGCAAAACCAACATGGCGGCAGTGGCTGTTGAGTGGCCCCCTCCCTGGCCTTCCTCCCGGGGCAAGAGCTGCCCTCCCTTGGGAAGGGTGGGCATGGGGAGAACGGAAGGTGTGAACCCTCTTGCCAGTGAGCTCAGAGAAAGCCGAGGTAGAAATGACCATAGGAAGACAGAGCAGATAGGATCAGTGCCCCACCCACATCCTCTTGGCTTGTACTATTTCTCTGCTGCCCAGTCCAATTGGCCACTGCCAGCACCTGCACCCCCTTTCCTGAGAGCGCTCTCTGGTGGCTCTACCCACATGCATGGCAGACCAGAAGTGCCAGAGAACCAAAGTCCCTGAGACCTCACTACCGCCGGAGCCCAGCTCCCTCATCCCGTGGGTGGAGTAACTCGGAAGGGTGCTCCACATGGACTCTCAGTGTTCCCCAGCAGGATTAAGCAACAACACACCTTCTGTTGGACTGCTGTGATGGTTTAATTTATGTGCCAACTTGACTAGCCTATAACCCAATCTGGATATCAATGCAAAGGTATTTTTATTTTTATTTTTCTAAAGAGTTATTGATTTATTCAAGAGAGAACAGCAGGGAGGTGCAGGGAGGGGCAGAAGGAGAGGGAGAGAGAGTCTTAAGCAGACTCTACACTGAGCACAGAGCCTGATGTGGGGCTCGATCTCACCACCCTGAGATCATAACCTGAGCCGAAATCAAGAGTGGAAGGCTTAACTGACTGCACCACCCAGGTGCCCCTGCAAAGGTATTTTTAAATGAGATTATGTTTAAATCAGTAGACTTCAAATAAAGCAGATCACCCTCCATAATGTGGGTGGGCCTCATCTAATCACTTAAAGGCCTTATGAGAAAAAGACTAAAAAGAAAGAAATATTTCTGCCTTCAGATGCTTCCAAGCTACAATGTCAATATACACACATCCGATTGGTTCTGTTTCTCTGCAGAACCTGATTGACACAACTTCCTTCCCTTCTCGTCTCACTTTCCTACTGGTGCTTCCTGGGGTTGACCACAGTCTGAATCAACCATGTACACCAAATCCTTGAGTCAGGCTCTGCTTCTGGAATCTGAATTAAGATGGGGCAGGTCAGGAAAAGGGAATGGATTCAGCCATTCAGCTTGGCTTGTGTGCCAAGCACTGTGTGGATATTTTCCAACATGACTTTAGTCCCGTGATATTCCACCTCACTGTAGAATCTCTGACTGGATACATCCTTCAGACAGCTGAAGAGAAGACAGAAACAACTCAGTTACTACAAACTGAGCTGAGGACCACAACCACTGCTCTGCTCCAGGCAGAGTGTGAGCATGCCAATACGTTCACCTATCAGATTTTCCTAAAATGTTAAAATATACAATCACAGACAGACCAAATTATCCAATTTGCCAAGTATAATCATTCTGGAAGCTTTTCATCTTCATAACTGCCTGGCTAATGCTTCTCCCTGATTTAAAATTTACTTCGACATTTTAAATCACATAAAAAGAAGTCAGTTCCATATCACACTCTCTCTTCGAGAAAAAAGCCACCAGGAGACTCATCATGGGAAGCCCAGCCTGAGTGAGGGGGGTCTCATAGCCATCAGGGTGGCAAGAGGTGCAGACCGTTCTGGAGCCCTGAGTTCAACTGGCAGGTTTAAACAGTGCCTACCCAAGAGCGTCTGAAAGGGAGCCCCAGTGCGAAGAGATACCAGAGAAGCAGCCAATCAGCTGGCATGCTCCAGCAGCCTGGCCTGGTGGGAGGGTGGCTGCCCCTAATTCGAGCCAGGCCAGCCAGTCCCCGTCCCGGGAAGGGTGCTGGTTCTGATTAGCGCCTGCTTCCACCGCACAGTCCACATCCTCAGGTTTTCCTTCTGGCAGCTTGTGTCCATGCCATGTCGAATGATGTCATGTTGATGGAAAAGCTGACCAGCCCCAAGTCATGTTGCAGCCTCCTCCTCTCCCTGCCCCCAGCTGCTTCCCAAGGGCCCCCCATACTGGCCTGGACCAGGAGGGAGCCAGCTGTGTTGCATCAACTCAGCTCTGGTCGGTCCTAGCAAGTTTTTTATTCATTCCCATTCTCCATCGCAACATGACTTCAGCTATGAAATTCTAACTAATAAATCCTCCTTCCAGACTTACTGAGCTTCCCTTAGAGTCTCCCAAGAGAAGGGAGAGGAAGGATATTTCCCCCTTTACTAGCTCTCCTAAGCTTGCTCCCCACCCCATAAAGGAACGAGGTGATAATTATTAGATGAGGTTACCCCATACCTCATGTAACATGGATTTGCCTCATTATCCTATCTCCATGCTTCCCAAGACACCAGAAGGAGCTTGGAGAATGTTACGTGTGCTCTCTGGAGTAGAAACACTCCCTCCTGCCCCCCGCCACCTAAAGCCAGAGGAAGGGTCTGGAGACAAGTCGCCTGGTTTCGACCCTACTTCTGCTGCTGGCTTGGATGACCTGGTGCCATGCTTAGGACCTGGGCTCCACTGCTTGTCCGGAGGCAGGGAGGCACCCCTGCTTGCTCACGGCTCAGGGTGCCAAATCAGAGCACAAAACACCACGATTTAGGGCTCATCCCTCCCTGGTTTTCATTTAGCCCTCTTAAGTGAGTCTGGAATTGCCAGCTTCATCCCTAGCCCCCAGAGCCTGCCGAGCACATTTCGGCTTTCCCCTGGCCAGGAAGCAGGTAGAGGCTCAGCCCCGGGGCGAGGCAAAGGGGCAGAACGCTTCCAGGCACAGCCCTCCCCGCCCTTACGGCAGGCCGCCAGGATGCTCCAAGGAGTGACAGGCTGCCTCCCAGGCCAAGAATGAAGGGATTCTGCCCACTTGGGATGGGCGGAACTCCTGTTTTAAACTGCTTGGTGAGATGGGTTATAAATTTGTTCTTCGAACCGCTACAGCTGGACATGTGCCTGCACCCCAGCAAGAAAAGGAGGGCCTACCAGACAAAAGGGCCTGGACACATCCAGAAGTGGGGGTTGGGTGAGGGAGCGTCAGCTGTTTGCACTGGCCTCCCTCCCTGCAGAACGCAAGCTCCTGGAGGGCCAGGGCTCTGTCTCACTGGCCTCTGCTCTTTGCCCAGGGAGGGGAGCCTGTACTCCGGCACTCTAAAGAACTTAACTATTTGTGGGGTGCCTGGGTGGCTCAGTTGTTAAGTGTCTGCCTTCAGCTCATGTCATGATCCCAGGGTCCTGGGATCACGCCCCACATCGGGCTCCCTGCTCTGTGGGAAGCCTGCTTCTCCCTCTCCCACTCCCCCTGCTTCTGATCCCTCTCTCGCTCTCTGTCAAATAAATAAATAAAATCTTTAAAAAAAAAAAAAAACTTAACTATTTGTAGTTAATGACCCAACAGGTGCTTCCGTGACTGGCTGCTGGCTGGACTAGTTCCCGAAGCTGTTGTCTCTCAGCTCTCAACACACCCTGCTCTGTGAGGCTGAGTCTGGGCCTCTGAACACCTCTGCTAGCGGGTCTGTGGGAGGCTCAACCCAGATGGTCAGCTTGAGGGAGGTTGGCAGAGGGAGAAGGGCTGCATCTTCCTGCCTGCTCCCTATTCCTGTCAGCTTCAGCCGGCGACAGTCTTCCCTGGCAGCTAGTGCCAACTGTAGTTAATACCAGTGTCAGCTTTTCCCCCACTGCACTAGCTGCTACCCCCTCCCCCAAGGTTGAGGTCTCAGGTCAGCAGAGTCCCTTCTCCAAGCTTCTAGGTTCTGTTCGCCGCAGGTGTGACCTCTTCTGTTTGTCTGCTTGACCAGGGGTCCTCAAGTCTCAGCCCCCTCAGAGGTGTGCTGAAGGGCAGGTGGCTGGGCCCCAGTGCCCCAGGGTCTGATTCGGTTAGAATGTTCATTTCTAACATTCCCACGTGCCGCTGCTGCAGCTGGACTGGGCACCACACTTTGAGACCTCCCTCCCCCACCGGTGCCGACCCAGAAGTGGGGGCTGTTTCTGGCAGTGACTACCAATTAAATCCATGACCTGCTTTCCCAATTCCCAATATTAAATTCTGTCAAAACAACTGGTTTCTGTTTTCCTAACTGGATGCTGCCCTTCCAGGGGCCAAGGCAGAGTCACCTCCTACAGTCTCTGGAGTTTCCATGGTCCTGCCAGAGGCCATCAGCCAGCCCCAAACACCCTGGAGACCACGTGGGAGCTGTGGTTTCCCACTGCTAAAGCAGAAGATGAAGAGGAGAGTGGAGGTCCTTCCCCAGCAGGTCCTACCAAAGAGGAGGAACCAAAGAGGTCAGCCTACAAGTGACATGTAGCATCTATGGCTCCCCAAGCCATCCCCGGGGAGGTCCCGCGGCTCAAGATGCCAGCAGATAGAAAAGGCTTCCGACAGCTCTTCGGAAGTACCCAGCACACACTGCGCCGGCCACACTGCACCAATGTAGCCACTCTATGGATGCAACCCAGCCGTGGACATGCAAACACTGAGAGGGGGCCTGGAAGGTCAGCCCAAGGCGGGCATTCATTTGCTAGGCATTCCATGGCCAAACCCACCAGGACCCAGGCTCCTCTGCAGCTGTCAGCAAGGGGAGAGAGGAAAGCTCATCACTCCCTGGCCTTGAGTTCCCAACACAGAGGCCTGCACAGTGACGCTGAGCTTGGACAACAGCGGAGGGTGGCGGTGCCCCCACCTTCCACCACCTGGAGACCAGGCACCTGATCCTCCTGAGGATGCAGAGCCCAGGCCCTGCCTTCTGTGCTGGACCCCAGGGATACCCCACCACTGTTGGACCCCCACAAGCTACCTGTCACTTCCTTGATTTCTATCACATTTCCTTAAGGGCTGCCTGCTTTTCCCTCCTCAAGTCTCTCCATATTCCACAGCTAGCTCATGTTTTACCAGATTTCTATGAAGATGGAGATCCAGCACCTTGCCCTGAATGCCTGGGGACAACAAAGAAAAACGGATGGAGAATATTCTGCATCGCCCCACTGATACCAAAATTCCTGTTACCATGTGTAAGCCTTGATCTAAAGTAAATGTGGAAAAATACTGCTTAGATTGTAAAGGGATGTTTGATTTCAGTGGGAGAGCATGCTGCTGCTCAGAGTCCAAGACTTGCACATGGGCGGCAGCCCGCCTCCTCCACACTGCGCACTAGGGGCAGGACCATGCGCTATCCACCAGCCTGTTTCTCCTGATATTCCCTGACTCTTCTGGGGTCATGGTTGAGCCTAAACTCCATGATAATTCTGCCTAGATGTCAATGAAAGGGGCCCCAGTCACTGGGGCCCAGAAGGCCCATTGGCGGGCAGCAGCATGAGAAGACACCCACATCTCCTCCTGGCTCAGCCTACAAACCTTCTAATCAGAGTCCACTCTACCCCCGTCTTATGGTCTGACATCCTTCCTGCTCAAAAATGGCATCTTGGGTTTCTTCTCGTCTGTTCCTGCTGTACCAGAATACCTTCATTACCACCACAATGATGTCTTTAAAGAGCCTGGAATGGTGTACACTGCTTCAGGATCAAAATAATAGAAACTCTGTAACCCCCACTGGAGGCTCCATGAGGATATGCTTGGCACATGCAGGCACACAATAAACATTTGTCAAGTGAACACACACATGAACTATTAATCACTTGCTTATTTTAGAGTTCTAGGAGAGTTCTGCTTATTTTTATACACACCAACATAAACCTTCAACTCAGTTCTTTCATAATGTTTCTTAATGGAGTCCAGCTACATCATGAGTTGGAATTTGATAGAAGACACACCATCTAATTGGGCAGAGGACATAGGAGTCCTAGGACCAATAGAAAAAAATGTTTCCCTAGAGGCTGATTAGGGAGGAGATGAGAAAGAGTTTTTGGAAAGCAAAACTAAGTATGCTCAAACCAGGATTCAACTCCTGGCTTCACCCACAGCTCTGTGACCCTGAGCAAGTACGTTTCTCACGGAGCCTGCTCTTTTTCTCACTGGGCTCCACATAAAACGTTTGTTAATTCTTTGTCACCAAGTCCTGAGTGCACGGAATGTTTACATTCAGTTTTGAAATTCCTAAGTTTTTTTTTTTTTTTAAAGAAATCTCTATGAACAAGTTCAAGGTTTGATTGTTGAACTTATTCAAATCATCTGAAGATCAAGATAAGGTATCAAGGAGACTATTAGCCTAGAAGGATTAGCGCACTGTTAAATAACGCACAGCTTTCAAGGTGCAGCTGAGAAACAGACCAGGGCACGTGTGCATGTTCGCGCATCCGCGAGCGCGCATGAGCGTGCACAAACACACGCGCACGCGCGCGCGCACACACACACACACTCCAGTGCTTCTCGAACATAAATGCGCACACAGATCCTGCGGGATCTTGTTCAAAGGCAGATTCTGGTTCTCAGACCCAGAGCGAGGCCAGAGATTCTGCATTTCTAACAAGCACCCAGAGGACGCTGGTACTGCTGGGTCCAGGGACCACACTGTGATTAAGGAAGGGAGACACGCGACTCTACAAATGTCTAAGAAATGCAGGAAGTCCAGGTCCTTATTGTTTTTTGGGTGTTTTTTTAAATTTTCCTAGAATTCTATTTTCTATTATTAAATCAGCCTTCCAAGTAAAAACAAAGCATTTATTAATCTGCAGGAGTGTTCTAGATTCATTTCCTTCAGGTGACCATATGCTCTTAAGTTCTACTCTGCCCCGATCCTACCTGCTCCAGGGAGTGGACCTCTGGAGTTGGGCTAGCAAGCTGGCCTTCTCCAACCAGAGAAACAGCAGGACCTGCTGTCTCTTTTCCGTCATCTGAAGCTGACAAAGCAGCTCCTCCTCTTTTGCAAGTCTAGGGCTTCATAAATTTCAGCATCCTGATCCTACCGTCCATCCCTGGTCTCAGATTCCACAGTCAAGGGCTTACGGCCCCGACATCTGGCTGGTGCCCCAGGCTAAGGGGGAGCCTCCAAAGACCCACCACTTCTTTTTTCTAACCAAATGGAATGTTCTGTAAGGGCCAGGCTTCAGTCGCTACCTTTCCACAAGTCCCACTGGCCTGTGACACCTGTGGCCCTGTGAGGTTTCAGTCTGGTCACAGATGTGGGGAAAGGATGCTTGCGGTCAAATGTTATTTGTTCTAGAGCTGGAGGCTACGTTAAATTGGGAAACTATGGGAAGCAGAAAAAAGCAGGAACTGTAGAGGGAAAGAGGGTCTCGACTGTGTATCTGCTGCCTGCAAAACCAGCCAGGATGCACAGGGAAAGCAAAGGCTCCAGAAGAATCCCTCAGCGACCACAGTCACACAAGCCCTCTCCAGCTAAGATGACCGCCCCAAGCCCTGACTCGGCGGCTCATTACCAATGTCTCCTGGAACGTGCTTGCCGTGGAAGCTGAAGCAGGCGGTGACGTTCAGGCAGTTCACAGGCTGCAGCCCGTCGTGACACTGAGGCGCCGTGATGTTGATGGAGGCTGGGAGGAAGATGGAGACGTCCACCGTAATGACGGGTCTCGCCCTGTGCGTCGGGAGAGGGAGGTGACTTAGCCAGGTTCTCAGAATGGAGCAAGAAGTAATCCAGCAAGAGAAATCCTCGGCCTTCAGCCCGGCACTTAACGAAACCATGAAATAACCCGCGAGAGAAGGGCCAATGGGCCCTGTAAATACTTTCTCCTGGTTTCCGACGTGGCTTATTTCCTAATAAATTAATGGTTAACTTCCCAATAGTAAAGGCAAGTAAGTTGTTAATAAAACACATCTGGGTGAAACCATAAACGAACCACCAGATGTTGGGTGATTATTTAAAATTTCACCAATTAAGTTCCGATTTCCATTTTATTAGGAAGATAGTAATATATTTAAGGGGAGTTCCTACAGTGGATGCCAGGACTCGAGAAATAGCTGTACCGTCGGGAATGGCTGTGCCCTTACTGTCTCTGGAAGCATGAGCTGCAGAGTTCCAGTCCCATCCAGTGCGTCAAACCTCGCCCTTCCTTTAGTCCCTCAATTCATTAAGCATTTTTCTAAAAGAACTTGATCCACAGAGTCCCAGCTGGTAACAGCGAAGCATTTCAGAGCTGAAGAAATCAACCCACCTGGCCCCAGGAGCAAGTGAAACCCTATAAACATTGGCATGCTTAACACCAACGTGGACGGCCAGTATCCCCACCCACCCCGTACTGGATCGATACACAGCATCCCTCCTGCACCTTCTGGGGATCCCCAGGGTTGGCCGACCAAGCTGACAGTGACTCAAGCCGTCCTGCTGTCATTGCAGACACCTGCTCAGGGACGGTTCCCCTAAGCTGTGGCTTAGACTTCTCCCCTCCAGACCTCACAATGAGACCCTTTTACCTCCAGGGAGCCCCAGCCTTCCTGCCACTGGGGTGATATAACAAGATTAAGGGGCATTAGCGGCTTGAGAACAATGACCTTCCTTGTGTACAGTGACCCTGCCAAGAGCCCGCAGCGACAAGACAGATGGGAAAAAGAAACACAACTCTCAGAGAAGAAGGTATTAAGGAAAACCTCGGGGAAAGAGGGAAGGAAGGACACATGTGGCCCCAGGGGGGTGAAGGGTTTTCACTGCTGCCACCACTGCCATGGACGTGGGTTCAAGACTGGGAGAACTGGGACAAGGGCAAGGGAACAGTGGGTCTCCCAGAGCAAAGCCAGCTGTAAGGCCAACAGAAGTCAGAAAATAGCAGTGCCTAAAGGAAATCCAAGGTCCCGGCCTTCCAATTTTCTTCTGGGTTCATTCTTGTAAGATACTCTAAATAACACAGAAAACAAATGCTCTGCTCCTTGTCAAGAGGACTGAACAGATACCAACGGACACTCTAGAAAGCCACAGGTCCTTCCATGGCCAGCTCATGATCCCTCTCCTGGGAGGCCTTCTCCAAGACCCCTGCACCATCTTCACACCCCTCACTTACTCAGTAAGGTCACTGTTTCCAAGGCTGCTCCACCAGTCTACAGGCCCCTGAAGGACTAGGACCCCCCAAATTCATCCCGATAGCCTCAGGATTGGTGTTCAAAAACCTGAGATGTGAAATGGATGCCAATCTCACAACAGGCCCAGGGACTGAAAACCACAGGAGCGCCCCAACTTTCACAAAACAGAGGCACCAGGGAGTGCTGGTCTCTACCCTGTGAGATTTCCACCCTGCCCAGGGCACATGCTCCCTGGTCACCGCACGGAAGGAAGGCCTCACCCCCTCCTGCCATCCCAGGGGCCACCTAGTCCCCACTCCCAGCAGAGCCCTGCAGGGGAAGGCCGGGGGAGCAGGCCGGGAAAATGACGTCGATGGAGGCCGTCAGCACAGGATCCTCTGAGGTGAGGACAAAGACCTTCAGAAGCACACGTCTCACTAGCATCAGATCAGGCCCTCGATCCTGTTTCAGTTCCAAGAATTGTTCTTGGACCAGGGAAAGCCCAGAAATCTTTCCTGAACTCTCTCATCGCTCCCTCTGAACTGAAGTGGCACCGCACCAGGCGCCCATCGCCCTCACACAGGCCCTGCCCTCTGCAGCTAATCGGAGAGCGCAAAATCAGCGAGGGCAGAGTGGGGCCAGCCCACGGTCCTGCCTGCAGAGGGGCCCGTCCCTGTGAGAGAAGCAGAGGGGCGCTGAGGACAGCACCATAAAGGCCTTCAAGACTTAATTTTTAACAAGCTGGTAGCTAGACTACCTCTTTCTGATGACTCCAACAGTTCAAATCCTGATACAGACAGTCCCTGACTTACGACGACTCAATGTAACAACTTTTCAACCTTATGATGGGCTGACGTGCACTTAGGAGAAACTGAACTTTCAACTGTGAATCTGGATCCCCAAGGATCCCCTTGCCGGTGCTATGTGGAATGACTGTGTGGTGATGCTGGCCCTGGGGCCACAGCTCCCAGGCTCCGCCACCAATCACCTACGCTGACACCCTTTCTGTAGCCACGTGGAGACTCTGTCACTTCCGGCACAGCTTTCAGTAATTTACGTGAGAGAGTCAACACTTGATTATCAAATCAGCTTAGCGTCGGAGGACTGTGCCCGACCGCAGGCGGGTATAAGTGTTCTGAGCGCAGCTGAGGCAGGCCAGGCTAAGCCATGGTGTTCGGGAGGTTAGGGGTAGTAAATATGTTTCCATGTAGGATGTTTTCAACTTACAATGGGTTTATCATAACAGTAACTCCTTCCTAGGTCAAGGTAGATCTGTACTTCCCCTGCATTTACCTCCAGGTAAAACCAGGCAGGATGCCGTCTGATGGAGTATTGCTCCCATCACCCCAGCCTTCTGCGGGGGGTAGTGCTGCACGTGGGACAGACACAGTCGGGCAGACTGAGCGCTGACACCCCCATGAAGATGGAGGCTACTAAACCAGCCCTGGAGCCATCCCCTCTAGGCAGCCAATTAACGTCTGTGTCCTTAACGCCACTCACAGTAAGGTGTGCCCTTCGTGGCAGCCCGAAGGATTCCAGGCCCGTTCACATCTGGACTCTCCCCGAGGACGTGTAAGAATGGGCATGGTGTGGAACCCCTGGGTGGCTCAGTGGGTTAAGCCCCTGCCTTCAGCTCAGGTCATGATCTCAGGGTCCTGGGATTGAGTCCCGCATCAGGTTCTCCGCTCAGCAGGGAGCCTGCTTCCCCTGCCTCTCTCTCTGCCTGCCTCTCTGCCTACTGGTGATCTCTCTGTGGGTCAAATAAATACATAAAATATTATAAAAAAAAAAAAAAAGAATGGGCACGGTGTGTTATATGAGCCTGTGCATGACTGGTTTCTTTTTCTGGTCTCACCCAAACTCTGAGGGGACTCAAGTTCCACCTAACTTGCTGGTCAACTAGGCCATGCCTGGGATGCCCGCCTCGCTTAGCCCGCTGACGTCTCCAGATCTTCTTGTCCACAGTCGTTCAGCCACATCCAGCACCTTATCAACAGATGCCTTCCTGGCCCCTCAGACACACTCGACAGTCCCTCTGCCTGTTCCTCCCTGGCCCCCTCTCTAAGGGGTCCCAGTTTGCCTTCCCTGCTCCTGGAAGAGAACTGAGGTGGTCACCCTCACCCACATTCCACGCTGAACCTTGCCCTAGACCTGTTCCAGTGTTGGGGCCTGGCTCAAAGACGAGGTCCCTGCCCCCCATGGCCTATACACTGCATCCCACCTTCCTCTCCTCTCTCAACCCCCATTCAGCCTCGTCCCCCTCTCCCTCTGTCTCTTCAGGCCCCAAGGCAAGAGTGGGGTCAGGGCAAGTTTTGTATGGATGACGGTGAAGCTAAAGGGGACCGCCTCTGATTAGTGCAGGACAGGAAAGGGCCAAGGAGAGCAGAAGAGGTTTCAAAGACTCTTGGCCTAATCTCTGAGCCACATGGCAATCCCATTTGCTCCTTGGTAGCCAAGCTTCTGGAAAGGAGTCAAACTTCACCATCTGTTTTCTTGCTTCTCCTTCTCTCTCCCACCCACAGCGATCTGACCTCCGCACCTCACTTCTCTTGACCTGCCAGAGCCAAGGACACCACTGTCACCTCCTAACATGACTACCTGGCCCTCTCTGCTGGGTTTGATGCAGGCCAGGGCCCTTGACCACATGACCCTGCCTCATCATCCTCATGGCACTTATCACAATCAACAATTATCTCCTTTTTAAAATTAATAAAACTTCAAGGTCACTTGCTTTCCTCATCCATAAAATGGGAATAATAGTAGTAATATCTATGTCATGGAGTTGTTAAGAAAACTAAGAATTAAAATATGTTCTCTCGGGACACCTGGGTGGCTCAGTCGGATAACATACAACCTTTGATTTTGGCTCAGGTCATGATCTCGGGGTTGATTCTCTCTTAAGCGTCTCTCTCCCCACCCTTTTTTTTGACCCTGCCCCTCCTAAAAAAATTATGTTCTACCAAAAAGAGAACAGAAGAACAAGCTACAGTGTATTCAGTCAGCGGACTACTGCTCAGTAAGGGGAAAAGAGCACCACAGAACGGCTCAGAGGCATCTCAAACACGTTGCACCGAGTGAAAGAGGCCAGAGCCGAGAGAGTGTGGACTCCATAATTCCATCTACGTGAAATTCTAGAACAGGCAGGACTGATCGACGGCAATGAAAATCAGACCAATGGTTGACTGTCGGAAGGGGGCATAACTGGGAAGAGGCAGGAGGAAACTTCCTGGGGTGATGGAAATGTTCTTTATCTTAATGGGTGGCAGTTACACATGCAGGCACCTGCTTACAACTGTACAAGCGCTATCCTTCAATCAGCAGGCTCCGTAATATGCAACCTACATCTCCAAAGGGAAAGAAAAAACCAGAATGACCAGAGAGAGCTGAGCATGTGGGAGCCCAAGCGGTGCCCGGCATGTGGCAGGCACTCAGCAAACACTGGCTGAATGGGTTGCTTGCACAGTTGCTCTGTGAGACGCACCCGGGATCTGACACAGAGTCAAATAAATAAATAAAATATTAAAAAAAAAAAAAAGGGGGAATCTACAGGATATACCTTAAGCCAGATATTCCCGGTTTTAGGAGTGCCTTTTCTCAACTGTGAGAGCTGGGGAACGTGTTTTATTCTAGAGGAATCGTGCCAAGCCAAAGCAAGCTGCTCGGGACAGTGAAGAGGAGAGAAGGACACCACAAGCTCAGCTTCTGAAGTGTCACCTCAGTCATTGGAGGCTACGTAAGCTGTTTTACCTGAAAGGGGATGGCCAACCCACAGGACGGGGGTGAGGGCTGGGGGATAAAGAAAGTGGAGATCCAGTCATATGGCAACAGCGACATCACCACCTCGGGGACACACAGGCCACTATCAAATACTGAAGGGTTGCTACATGCAAAATATAGAATCAAGAAGCAGAATTTTAAGGAGGCACATTTTGCATAAGTTATCTAAGCATTGCTAACATTCATTGACCGCCTACCTGTACTATGCATTTTGCATGTAGTACTAATTCACAGAGTTCTGTGGACCCAGTGAAGGAAGTACTACCATTCTCCTTTTAATGGGAAAGAATCCTGAAAGGTGGGTAACCTGGGGAAATCCACCTCCCAACGGCAGAGTGGGGGTTCGAACCCAGGCCACCTGGCCCTGGACCTCACCCTCCCAACCTAAGGTGATTCTGTCTCCTTAACAGGTTAACATCCCGAGTTAGCTAGGGTTAACTTGTTCCCTCCGAAGTTTCTAAGTTCTCACCCCTAGGGGCACCTTAAGGGCCGGGTTCCTTGCAGCCAGAGACTTGGAGGAAGGCGCTGCTGAATGAGAAGAATCTGGGGTGTGCAGCTCCATGGCCTCTGGGACCCCTTCCAGCTCTAAGATCCCACTGGCCTATTTTAGAAAGTCCTGCCATCAGGTTATTAACAAAACCTAAGAGCTGGCTCCCACTCCAAAGGGTAATTTGGCCTCCTCTGACTCATATGGACAGAAATACTTGGAGATGGTTCAGGGCGGAATGGCAGCCCCTAGCCTTTGTGGTAGAGAGTCAGGGTGCATGGGCTCCCATCCCACACCTCTGCCTCCACAGGCAAGGAAGTCCTGCTCAAAGGGCAGGAGGCTCCCCGCCCCTGGGGATCTAGGGACTGACAAAGTGGGGATGAAGAGCTGGGACAAGGCAGTGCTTGGGAGCCCCTGAGTGTCCTGGTAACCACAGGAAATGAGGACATCATGTACACACATTCATGAAGCAGCTGTTGAAGGCAAAAGGCAAAACCGCCGGGGCTGAAGCCACCCCAAGCCCTAGGGAGGCTACTGTCCCAGAGCTACAAGCCACTAGAGGCCCGCCAGCTGGAAACTCTGCAACTGGGGTAGCAGACAGCCGCATTTCTACCTTCAGAGCACCTCCAGGAACAGCACGGAGGGAACTGCTGACTGACGGTGAAGAACTTCCCCAGCCACCCACCTCACCAAAGTCTAGCCCTCATGGCGAAGAACGCAACCCAAGAAGCAAGAGGGAAGCATCTCACCTTAGAAGAACCACGCTGTCCGACATGAAGGCTCCAATAGTTACATCTGAAAATCAGAAGTTTGTAGCATTCAGAGACGTGCTGAAGCCCCTCCCAGTCTACCCACCCCCTGGCAAGGTCCCCAGCCACTGCGGCCCAGCACTGAGCTCGGGGGGCCCCCAACAGCCTTCCTGTGGGCCACACGGTGATCTTGGAAGAGGGAGAGCCACATTGTGCCACGTGGCAGCCAATCACCACGTGGCTTGCTGAGACCTTGAAATGTGGCTGGTATGAAAACCATGAACTAGCCCAAAAACTTTTATATTGATTATTAAAATTGATTTCACCTATTTCTTTTTATCTTTTTTATGTGTTTCCTAGAATACATTAAATTATGTATGTGGGTCACATTATGTATCTTTTGGACATGAGTGAATTAGAGAGGCAGATACTTAGAACTAAAGGAGCTGGAAAGAAGCTCTAGGTTCTGTGGAACATGTGAATCATCTCTGCTCCACCCCTCACTCCCTGTGACCTCAGAATCTCTCATTGTCCTTGTCTGTACTGTGGACATAATTATCCTAAGGGTCTTCTTCAAAAGCTGATGATATTTCATAATACTTAAATTAGAAGACATCTATTAAATACTTACTAAATATTAGTTGTTAAATGTAATACTTTAAAAATATTTAAATACATAGGTTAAATCACATATTTAAATCAGAAAATTCAGGAAATACTTAGTATACTACAAACCAAGACCCAACTGCTAGATGGTAATTTTTTTCTCCTTTTTTTAAGATCTTATTTATTTATTTCTGAGAAGAGAGAGAGAGCACAAGCAGGGGGAGCAGCAGGCAAAGGGAGAGGGAGAGGTAGACTCCCCTCTGAGCAGGGAGCCCAATGTGGGGCTCAATTCCAGGACCCTGGGATCATGACCTGAGCCTAAGGCAGACGCTTAATGACTGAGCCTCTCAGGTGCCCCACTAATGTTTATCTTTAAGTAACTTGAATTTATAAAGTATATACTCATCTAGTAGCTCTCTGTCTTTCTTCCCCTTGAGTATAAACTCCTTAGTCCTGGGGTTCCCATTAACACCTTACAGAAGCAAGCATCTGAATCCAAGACAGACTGAATCCCTGTGTCTATACAATGTCCTCAATTAAGGAAAAAGAAACAGCAAATCCATGAATTGTAGGGCTGCTAAAATTTCTGCACTTGGGTATGCTTGTTAATTTTGCTGTTTTCCAAGCCTTTTTGAGTTGACTAGATGCTTGAAAACAAAAGAGCCTGAGGAATCTGTCATTTCTTTTATGAAAAATATAAGAAGTTCAGGGGCGCCTGGGTGGCTCAGTCATTAAGAGTCTGACTTCGGCTCAGGTCACGATCCCAGGGGCCTGAGCTCAAGTTCTGCACTGGGCTCCCCTCTCAGCAGGGAGCCTGCTTCTCCCTCTGCCCCTCCCCACATTCATGTGCTCATTCTCTCTCAAATAAATAAAAATTTTTAAAAATCTTAAAAGAAAAAAATGTAAGAAACTCCCATACATCATGAAGCATGAACCCACCTGCTCACAAGAGAACGTGCGTCTCTGCCCACTGCGATGTGGCCTCTGGCCTGGCCCCTAAGTTCTCTGCAGCTCAGTACCCATGTCTCTCACGTGGGGAACATCCCACCTCTACCCACCGGCCGCACTATGGGAGCCATTGTGCACGTGGGAGCATTTTGCATATACATCAGGTATTATTCCAGGACAGCCACAAATTACCCAAAACAAGAAGAATGGCCTTCTCCAACTTAAGCCCATGAGGCCCACAGGAACAAAAACTTCAACAACAACCCTTTCCTCTCCCCTCCTCCTGGCTCTGTAAGGTCACAAAAAATGATCAAAACTGCTGCCCATAAGAAACTACCAAATGCGCGGCCCTCGTACAGCCCAGCATTGGATCTCACAAGTCCTTCCGGGGCATTTTAAGTGGAAGAAGTACTTCTTCAAAGACAGCAAGAGGACCTACAGTTCCAGGGAAATGCTTCCTGAATTCCAGGAACATTTCAGATTTTTTCAAATTCTCATCTCTCTTTCCTCACCTCACCCCACTCCATCCCCTTCAAACCCCAAAAGAACCACTACCCCCCTGCCCAGGGCATTTTCCCTAAATCAGACAACACTTGGGACTGAGGTGGGAAATGGTACATTTTTCTTCAACTAGCCTCAACCATCACGAGGCATTAATTCACCCTGAAGACAAGGCAGCCAGAACAGTGAGGGTCTGTTTTGTCCATCAGGGAGGGGGCAAGGTTTTCTTTTTTGCTCCAAATATTTCAATTTTCTTGAGGTGGGGAAGGTGCTGCCCAGCTCCTTTTTTTCCCCTCTCAAGGGTAAGAGGTCTCTAACTATGCTTAATATTAAGGAGAACATGAGGTTTCACTATCATTTTTAATGTGGACAGTGCTTTTTTTTCTCTTCATTAGAAAGAACTGATGCCACGGAAATCCTGTTCTTTTTTCTTTTTCTTTTCTTTTTTTTTTTTTTTGTTGTTTCTTTTGGTATCAGTCCATCCTTTTGGTGCTGAAACTCTTCAGAATAGATCATTCTAAAACCCCAAAGTAAACTTCAACACCTTAAAATCAAATAGCAGGCAAAGTATCCCCTCCTACTATGGGAATTTTCCTCATCCCACATAGATGTCACCACAGCTTACCCCGACTGGAAATGACTCTACCTCACGCACTTATCTTCTTTTATTTCATATGCCTTTAAAGAAAAACAGCTTACCAGGATAGCCATTTCCATCCATATCAATGCCTCCTGATATGGACTGCCCAAACATCCGCAGAACCGGACTTATCTTCCGGCCGGACAGCTTCTGAAACAGATAATAGGGAAATTGAGTCACTGGGTAGAAGCACAGTGGTGAGTAAGAACACAGGACTGTTCTATGCAGCTTCCCTTAGATGCTTGGTCCTGGAGCTGTGGAAAGAGAAAACTGTGGTCGTAATTTGATCCTGGGGTTTTTAGCACATGGCCAAAGACCACGCACTCGGTTACAGTAACTTGTCTTCACGACATGTCATTGTTTAAAAATTTTTCAAGCTCTGTGTTCATGAAAAACCCACCTAGACTTCTGTGCTAATGTTTTGACATGCCACATGAAGTTCAAAATTGATGTTTACTTCCATTTCCAAGAGCGGTTCTGTTTTGTTTCCACACAGGTGGAGCTGGCTAGAATTCTAAGAACATGTTTTCCTTAGATCTCTCTACCCAAATATGTACCAAACATGGGCCACCCCTCTCCTTGGAGGTGCTGTCAGTCTTTCCCCGGGGCGGTGGGGGGACGGGCAGGCAGTGAGCACGTCCAGCTGGCAGAGATGGGCACATGGAAACCACCTCTCAACCGAGCTGATCAGAAGACCTATAGGCTCCTGAGCTTTCCATACAGGTGAGACTGTCCTGTCTAGAAAATCTGGAGCTCCAGGGTCCTGAACCTTCTATAAACTGTAGGTAATTAAAAAAAAAAAAAAAAATCAGCCAAAGCCACCCTCTTCCCTACAAGGCAGCCCCCCCAACCAGCCAGTTGGGAGTTCACAGCTCTACCACCATAGGGCAACTGTACTTTCATTCATCATGAATTTCAGTCTGTATTAACGTATGCTGTCTTGGTTCAGGGCTATTTACAGTACAAGTGGCCTCCGTCACTCATCATCTACGTGGTGCAGTTCCTCAAAAGATATCAAACTTGCTGAATCAGAAAAGTCCCATTTCCTGGGATCTGACCTGTTTCTTCTTCCCTTTGTTTATACAATCTCTCTGGGGAGGCTTACCTCCCAATGCCCTCACTATGGAAGATAAGAAAATGCTTTGTTTTCATGCCATACAGCACAGCACAACCCCTATCGGAACCAGGTTTACAGATAGCCAGGGGCTCACTGTGGACTTTATTCCCGTATCCTTTTCCTTACTGAGTCATCCAGAAGTCGGGAGCATGGGAAGAGGGTGTTTCCATAGAATCTACAGATGGAGAGGCCAGGGACCAACCCCTGCCCCTCACCACCCCTCCCGGGATCCCATCACTGCGAATAACCTTCCACTTGCCATCTTCACTTAAGCCGTCCAACAGGAAATGTGCGAGCATCATGGTACAAATCAGAGCACCAGCAAACGCTGAAATGTTCCTTGCTCGCAGGCAGAGCTCCACATCCCACATGGCTCTGTCTAAACAAACGTACGTATGTCTATTTCTTAAAAGCCCCATGTTGAGGCAGGCCAGCTCAGCTCCACAGTCTAATGATGCTAGCAGCAGCTTGCCCTGGGTCTGCATTTCTAAGCTCTGCAGCGGCTGGGACAAGGGGGAAGAGTGAAGGGGTGGTCCATTTGGGGGTGGCGATGCCGGCTTAAGTTATCCCACAGACATCTGCAGGCCATTAGGCCATAAAGCCAGGAAGATAAGTCTGCTCAGTGCTAATAACCCTAAATGAAAACCAGGAGCCTTGGAAAACCTCCGCCTGCCCAGGTTTATAGGCAGTGTCCTTATGGCAAAAGAAAGATCACAGGGGCCGCCCTGACGTGCCCTGGGGGCTCTCAAATTGAGAAAGGCGCACAAGGATCTTAAAATCAACACTTTTCCTGACGAGCCCAAGAAAGAGGAATGAGTTAAAGAGTAATGTGGACGAACTTCAGCCCTGATCTCACAATTTATCCGGCAGAAATAAATACCAGTCTGGGCCAAAGAAAAGCAACTCCTTTGCCCAGAGCTGTTTCTGATTTCTTCCTCAGGTTCACCCGCACAATGCCCGCTCTGTCCAGACCGCAGCCCTGAAGAATACGTCGTTGAAGGGTTTTTCTTTTTCTTTTTTCCTTTTAAATCACTGACCTTATCATATACATATTAGCAGCTTGGAAAAGTATAAACGTACTTGTTTCTCCCTTTCTTTTTTTTTTTCCTTAAGTGCTCCAAACCACTTCTCTTTGTCAAGGCTAACAAGCCTCCCTGCGTGCTGACAGAGGCAGGACGAGTCCAGCTGCCGATCCCTGCTTCCTACTGAAGACACTCCATGCTAACCACAAAATTTGTCCTTCGGTTCCCTGCAGGGATTCCACCCAGCAACAAAACAAAACACTGGAGGGCCGCAGGAGGAGGGGAAGCAGGGGTCTTTGACAGGTTGCCTCTCTGTGTGATTCGCTTCCAGGGTCCAGGAACAAGCTTCCAGGAGGAAGTGTGGACAGTGACCCTGGCGGCTGCTGGAGGACTGGGCTCCCTGGATGACTTCCCGCTTGTCATGTCGTGAAGAGGGTCCCTAACTCAGACCACAGACGCCCCCCTAACACGGATGTGGCCCCCGACCTGTGCCCAAAGCCCTCTTCCTCCTGCCATATCGGCTGAGTCACCTAAGAGCTCCCTGTCCCCGTTATTCATTTCTAATGAGAAGAGGATGGTCTGAGTAGACCAGGCCCCTTGGAGTATGTGTGCATCGGAGCAGGATAAGTTTCCACATTTCTACATTTCCCAGGTGAGCTTCCCTGAGTGTTCCCTCCTCCAGTGTGGGGACAGTAACGGACAGTAAGTAAACTTGGCTGGGCGTCAAGTTTCAGGATAGCCATACTGCCACTTACTAGCCAGAGACCTTGGGCAAGTGAAGTCACCTGGGCTGGAGGCACCTCAGGAAGACAGGTGGACAGTAAAGGCACCATCTCATAGGACTAGGACAAGGACTAAAGAAGAGAGCGGACTGGTGCCCCCTCTCTACCCTCTGACTCGCGTGGGAATCACTGAGCTGGGCTGGCCCCAGCAGAGAGGGTGCAGGAAGCTGGCAACAAACCAACCCTCAGCCTCTAATCAGCTCATTTTTATCTGCTGCAAGAAGAACAATTATGAATGCATTGACTGAAGTCCTGTTTATGGACTGGCTCTTAAAACCCACTTGTAAAGTCTCTTTCTTACCTAGAGACTTCAACACATGAACAGGTTTGGACACTTTCCTAATACCTTGCTTTATAGAACACTTTCGGAACCTTTTGCAAGAACGCGACTCAGTTGGAAGTTTTGTTTCCTTAGAGACAATTGAGACAGGAGGCCAGCTGCTTTGTGATGAGAAGTACAAGCATGAGTAGGAAGTGGTAAGCACATAAGAAGCACTCGGCAGATCGATATTTGCTAACTGGAAGTTTCTCCACTTGTGCTCAGTCCCTTTCTCCCACTGACCCACTCACTGGGAGAGTGACACAGGCCTGTGCCACTCCAGACAGAAACATCCCCAAATATCCTGACGATGCTTCTGTCAAGAGAGTGACTTCCTTTTTTCCCAGGGGCTGGGCCTGATACCATCAGCAAGATTGAACACCACGCTGATATGGCAAAAACAGAACCCACCACTTCCACGTTCCCAAGTCTGGGGCTCAAGGCCAGAGCTTTGACAGCTCCTCACACCAATACCACTTATACCAATCAGCCCTGTGACAGCTTTTAAACCCCTCCTCCGTGGACCGTTGTCTCTCTAAGTGACATTTTACAACATATTCCTTTGGCTAGCACTGATGATTGACAAAGGAGTAACTAAAGGAAAAACTCTTCTTCTTCAAGAAATAACTCCTAATGTGGGTCAGGGTGTGGATATCATCTTTCACGGGCAGAAGGCCTCCCTGACGGAGAGCACACTCAGGAGTTTCTGAACATGTTTTTGTACTTAATAATCAATACCAATGGTCGCTGTCTTTCACTGGAGGGCGGGAAAGTTGACAGGAGAAACCATGTTGTGTTCTCCTCTGTACCCCAGGGTGTGGTATAGACTAAAGTTTCCCTACGTATTTGTCAGATGAATGTATGGACAGTTACCACATCATTCTCACAGCAATTACCATTGAGTACTGAGAGACGATCCCACCAACATCACCATGATAGATATAGACGGCCCCGGAGAAGTCGTCCTCCTTGGGTGCGCCAATGGCCACATCTGAGGGGAGAAAAACAGCTGTGGGTTAGAAAGCCATATGGAGTAATATAAGGAGTTTTCCTAATTCCTGCCATCATTTGGGTCCCTCCATATCAGAAATTTCTTGGTTGTAGGCTGTCCAGACATTAAGCTAGACATACAATCTCTTTGCAGGGAAGAAAAGCAAGGGGGGGGCGGTAGAAAGGAAATTATTGAAGCTTAGAAGGGTTTAGTTTCAAAAAAGTTCCTACCTCATCCTCACAGAAAAAAAACCATTGACCCATCCAATAAGAGAAATGCAAATGTAAACCACCCACCCAAATTTCTGTCAGGGGAATTCCATAAACTATGGTTATTGCATAACTGAGAAAGTCAATTCATTCCCGGAGAAGGGACTTATAAAAAATGGCATTCGCTTCCCCCAAAAATATGGTTACCCTCACAAACTGACAGCCCCTGGAACAAAGCCGAGATCTTCCTTTCTTCCCTTTGCTTCTAACAAAAGTCATGTGTTTGCAGAAGTGAGGTCAAGGGTGCGGGACCCATGCTCACATGACCTCAAGCCGGGATCCTCTCTAGTCAGGGTTGTGAGGGTATCAAAGGAGCCTGAATGTCTGGTCTGAGGCAAGAGCTGCCCCCCAGCCTGTCCCCCACCTCAGCTGTCCCCCTAGTGACGTGGGTCCCACAGGTCCTGACTTCTATGTCCCGTGTATACAATAAGCGGAGACAACACTGAACAGACCAGAAAGAGAGGCCAAGACACTGTGAAGGAATCTGCAGTCCGGACAGATCTTGACATCAGGTACACATAGCCCCACCCTCTTGGCAGAGACATATCCAAGTCCATCCCCTTGCTGTCACTCTTGGGGCTGAGAATGTCTGAGTCCCTCCACACTCATGTACTAATAACGCAGCAGACCCTTAGAGTCTGAGACACAGGGACTGGTGGCAGGAGGAAGCCAGGCCAAACATGTCTGCAGCAAGAAGCCCCCGTGGCCCAGCCCTAGGACCCCTCACACGGCCAACACACAGCCAAGAACTTGAGGCTGCTGAGAAGGTACCACATGGAAGCAGAAGCGCAGCAGGCTCAGAGCCCAGCCCTGAGTGTCTGCATGGAGAACATCTTCTCGAAGGGCACCCCTCCCTGCAGGGGACTTCCAAGGGGGCAGGCAGATCCAGTAGCACCTCATGCCAGGGCGAAGGCAGAGTGCAGGTACGAGCTCACTGACCTGGGAACCCGTCATCATCAAGGTCGCCTAGGCTGGCAATGCTCTCCCCAAAGTGTGCGTTGTAGGCGCCATCGCCACTCAGGGCCAGCTGCTCCTCCAGGGCTCCCTGGCAAACAGGACGGAGGAAAAAATGGAAAACAAAACAAAACCAGAACCAAAAAAAAACCCCAATACAACCAAAGCTCCAAACACCACTGGAGCACACCCATCGACAGGAAACACCTGGGCAGCATCACGGGCACCCAAGCTTCTCTCTCCTGGTGGCAAAATGAGTCCCTTTCACCTGTGCAGCAGGAGGGTCTCCCACAGCCTGAGATGCCTTTTAGAGGGAAGAGGATTCTCATGTTGGCCAAGGACTCCATCTCCCCTTTGTCCTGACGCTCCACAAACCTCCCTACCCACAAACCTGTTGCCACGAAATCCTCTCAGCTGCCCTTACCCTTTGTTCCAAAAGTTGTTTTACGTGGGCATGCATATTTCTATTTTCTTCTCTCCTATCCCTTGTAGTACAAGCTTACAAAGCTGCTTTGCAAGGTGCATGTGATCAGTAATCGTGACAGAATCATCGTTCAGAAAACCCAACACCCAATAGAGTTCTTGGCGAGGAAATGGGTGGGGACGCATACAACTGTGCCCATTATCGTGTGGCTCAGATTTGGATTTCTTTTTTTTTTTTTTTTAAGATTTTATTTATTTATTTGACAGAGAGAGATCACAAGTAGGCAGAGAGGCAGGCAGAGAGAGAGAGTGAAGCAGGCTTCCTGCCAAGCAGAGAGCCCAATGCAGGGCTCGATCCCAGGACCCTGGGATCATGACCTGAGCTAAAGGCAGAGGCTTTAACCTACTGAGCCACCCAGGCGCCCCCAGATTTGGATTTCTTGAGCAAACACCACCCAAGAGAGGGAGGGGGTCAAGGGTGTATGGTGGCAGTAAAAGCCATCTAAGGATATCCACTCTACCCCAAATCACTAACATGTTGGTATCAGAGTATTAAAATACAATCTGAGATTCTGAGGCAGAAGAAAGTCAAAGCCTGACCCAGTGTAGAGGTATTCTGAACCCACTACACACCCACAAGCCACCCCAGGAAGTGTCTGGCTTTAGATGGGACCTTAGGATTCTACCCACTTTACAGATGAGGAAACTGAGCCACTAATTTTAGGCTATTTGTCCACATGGCACAGGCTAATAAGTGGAAAAAGCAAGGTCCAAGTCCATCTATCCAAAGTCATCATTTTCCCAATCCTCTGCACTGCTTCATGATCATTCATCAGACAGGAGGAGGCTCAACAGATACCATGCCCTGGTACTAAGGGTAGCCACATGGCATGAAGCTACATTGGTTGGGGGTTGGACGGTATGGGCGCCATGTGTCTGGGGGAGTTTTCCAGCTCCAAGATTCCACACCGTGATTCAAACACACTGACAAGCTATTACGCTGGTCTCCTTACTGCCTGACAAGTTCATACCTACACGAGTACTTCATACTCCTACAAATAGAGTAGCTGGCAGCCACCAAATGTTGCTGTTCTCATCTCCATAATGACCACCTCTTTTCTCCCCACACCTGCCTGTCCCTTTTCCTGGAATGGCAATGGGGGTGTAAGTGTCAAGTGTTACTCAACAGGTCCCAGGAAGTACATTTGTTCCCAGGTTTTAGATCCATTTTCTCAAAGTGTTTTTAAGCATCTAAGAAAGCCCAAGGCTCTAACGTTCCCTGGCCCCTATTCAGATGGCTTCCTTTCTTCGTGACAGCTGCCCACCTAGAGTCAAACACTGCTGCCCCTCCAACTGGATGAGTCATCCAACTAGGATAACTAGCATCTTCTTCACTGCTTAAAAGGATTTTTTTTTTCTATGAAAGTATTACATTCTTGCTCTTTGGATAAAGATAAAACTAAAAACCTACCCAAGCCTTACCACCCACAAGGATCTATTATGAACATTCTCTATGTGGTTTGTATATTTTTTAAAAGTTCTTTGTATAGGAAGATCTTATCCCACTTTTCACTGATTACTTTACAAGCATTTTCTCATGTTTGGTAACAAAATTGATGAATTTAACTCTCTTGTTGGACACTCTTAATTCTAGATGCTGAAAAGATTCTGCTTTCTCATTGGTCTCCCGCCTCCACTGGGGCATTTCTTCCTCTCCCCTCCCTGTCCCCATCCCCTAGCCCACAACTCAGCTGCAGAGGGCCAGAGGCATCTTTCTAATGTCATCACACCCCTTTCATGGTTCTGCAGGCTAAGGAACATCATGATCACAGCCCTTAGCCACTGCACTGGCCCAACCCCAGAACTTAAGTGGTCCTGCTGCCCCAGTCCTCAACCTGCTTGCCCAGCTCCCAGCCCAGCTCTTTCCATCTGCCTAGCTCCTACTCCTTCAAGATTCTGCCCAGCCACTGCACCCTCCAGGAGCCCCTGGCTCATGTGTATATACTTCCGGGGAAGCAGCATGATTCCCAGAGAGCCAGCTGGCCTGAGTTCAAATTCTAGCCCACTGCTTCTAGCTGTGTGCCACAGGCATCATTTTTAATCTGAAAAATGGGGGCCCCTGATACTATGTGCACATTACATGGAAATCATTTCTAGAAAGCAGGAGGAAGAGTTTCAGGTACAGAATAAACACTCAAAATCAAACAAATGACGTTGTGATTTTTCTCAATCCCTGTATGTCTGCAGTGGTAACACTGTGTCCGGCTTTCCATTAATGGCATGTTGAGCTTTCAGAAGGTAGGAAGCACGTCTTTTCACTTCCTCCAGGTAATGGGGCCCAAGGCATGGCCCAGAGTGGAGTTGCTCCATCACTCCTCACTGGACAGATGTCCCTCTCCCACACCCATCCACCTGGTGCCCAGCAGTGTACTCACATTTCCTCTGTTGATGTAGACGGTGACCTGCCCCTCATCCCTGATCTCAGAGAACATGGGGGCCCCCACCAGCAGGTCAGAGAGGCCGTCTGCATTCAGGTCAACTGCGCATAAGGAGGAGCCGAAGTAAGAGCCCATCTGCAACCAAGTCGAGTTGCAACAAAGCGTTCAGTGCATGCCCTCACACAGGAGGCCCTCGCTTGCCTCTAGCCCACAGCTTAACACACTCTTGCCCCCAAGCCCCTCAGCACTGCGATGGCTATGCTGTCCCATGAGCCAGAAGTGAAATCCCTGACTCCCAGCAGCGGCGCTGGACCCCAGTCCTCCTGAGACCGAAACTCACTGGCTCAGAGGCTCCCGCCTTGGAGCCCTCCCGGGGGAAAACAAGTGGACCGATCCAGGAGAATAAGACATGGTTTTTAAAGATGCAAGCTGAGGTTACAAAACAGGTTACAAGCATAGTAAGCGTACCTCCTATAACAGATATTTGACAGGGCTAACCAAGGAGGAACATGAAATTTCATTAACGCAAGGCAAGCTTGAAAAGGGTTGGGGGATGGAGTGGCTCAGTGATGGGTACTAAGGAGGGAAGGTATTGCACGAAGCTCTGGGTGTCATATGCAAACAATGAATCATGGAACACTGCCTCAAAAACTAATGATGTACTGTATGGGGACTAACTTAATAAAAAATAATTGAAAAAATAAATAAAACAATGATATCCCTTTCGGTAAGTTAAGAAAAAAAGAAAAAGAAAGAAAAGAAAAAAGAAATGCTACATGGGGAAATAGATTACCCTTTCCCAGGCCTGCACAGAGCTAAAGCCAACCAGGAAGGCATGAACTCAAGTGACAGGGAAGGGTACGACCCCTAAGACTATGTAATGGATGCGGGAACACGGCCAGGTTCCACTGGCTCTTCTTGAATCAGAGCTTAATCCAGTGCTTATTATCGTTAAGTCAGGGGTCTCAAACTCAAACGCCAATGGGATCCAGGCAGGTGATAGAACAGGTATAAGAAAAAACAAGTAACACTGCAAGTATGCTCCGGGTGGCAAGCGATGCTTGGCTTCAGGGTCTAACAGGCAATAGGGCGTGGTAGGGACTGTGGCCACCTGGGGCCCACAGAGTCAGCTCCTGAAGTCAACTGCTACTGTGGGGAGGCCGACCCAGAGAAGACCAACCTTCCCGTTTTTCAAGAGAAGCCCAAAATCCAAAATTTTATTTGAGGGGTCTCATTCTAAAATGCGGACAACTCGTTCATAAAAAAAAGAAGAAATAAACATAGCAGGCAGGCCAAACAAAAAGTTTTACAGGCTGCATCCTTTCCAAAGGCTGCCAGTTTGCAACCTCTGTTGGAAAGAAAAAAAAAAAAAAAGGCCATTCTTTTAAAATAAATGTTTTCAGATAAAAGGGCTCTGGTTCTGCTGACGGGAACAAGCGTTTTCTTTCGGAGCTGGTGTTTGTTGGCTGCCGCCCTGGGGAGTGTGAGAGCGGTGGAGGGCACTCCGGTCCATTTCCTGCAGTGAACCCGGGGACAGGAGCCCCTCCCCAGTCACACACTGCTTGTGCTCAGTGCACCCCGCCCTGCCAACACCCACTCCCAAAGGAGAAGTGTGTGGGCAACGCTGGGATTCCCAGCAGAGACCATGCCACCAGTCACTAATTCAGCGGCCTTGTCAATATATCCAGACTTCAGTAAAACAAACAAACTGGTAAGACCCTCACAGAGCCCAGAGGACCAAGGCTGCTGGTGTTCTCTCTGGCTCTGCCCCAGGGGAACTGTTTGTTTCATTCCAATGGGCTATTTAACTTGGCATCTTCATCAGTGTTCAATCAGAAATCCCTGAACGTGAAGTTTCTTATCTAAGTTTTGACATACGAACCTTTAAGATACCTCCGTTAACGCAATAAAACTCCTATATGTGGCAATGACATGCTGTGTGTGTTGGCAGGGGAGGGGGTTCTTTGATCAGTTCTCTCACCTGGAAATGCAGGTTCATGTGTCTATATTAACATCTGGATTGGGCACATACTGTTGACTTCTCGGATGTACTATATGAAGGATGTCAACCGCTAAAAACTGGAACTTTAGGGTTTTGTTGTTTTATTTTTCATATGGCAAGGCCAGGAGACAGTACTATCTGACCAAATTCGGGCCAAACAAAAGCAGAAGTGGACCAGTGGTCAACGGAGTCAGAACCCTCCCCACCATGTGTGTGGGTCCAGACACAGGGGTAAAGCTACAGACATCCTTTGAAAGCCTCGGGTCAAGTCCTTTCCCTTTGAATAATGGAGAAGTCAGAGATACTAGAATTTTTCATTTCTTCTTGCAAAAAGCAGAATAAGATGTATATAGAAAGTAATGGTCTTTTTCAAACTCAGAGCGGTGATGATGGGGGTAAAGCCAGAAGCCAGAGACACAGGAGGGCAAGAGTGAGTGGCACAAGGAAGAATGACTCTAGGACGGTACAAAGTGAGGACAAGTGGCCACGGAGCTGGTGGTTTAGACACCTGGCCCTCCCGTCCCTTCCCAGGGAGCCCCAACACCTCACGAGGCCATTCAAGCAGACACACAAGACAGTCTGTCCTGGGACTCCATGACATGAAGTCCTCACAAAGTGTGCACAAGTGGTTTCTCAAATATTTACCTCCCCCACTGCCCACTCTTCAGTCTGTCACCCCAAACCTGACTGCGACCAGTCACAGGTGGGTGGCTGTGTAAGTTGTCACCCGCACTGGGAGGTTTTTGAGAAGGAGACGGCACAATTATAGGCTGATAAGTGCACCGAGATGACCAGCATTAACTGGGCCTGCCCCCGGCGCGGGCAGCAGGGGGTGGGGAGAACAGAGGCTGCAGGTGGAAATGAAGGTGAAGACACTCTGAAGACTGGGTGACAGGTGTGCTCCTGCTCGGCACGTCACTTTAGAATCCTTAAAACGCAGTTACGTGAGGTGATGGAGGTCATAACTAACCTCCCCGTGATTCCACCATATATCCATGGGCCAAGTCGTCACGTTGAACACCTTAAGGTCACCGAATGCTTACGTCAATTACATCTCAGAAAAGCTGGGTGGGGGGAGATTCCTTTCATTTTATGCTGTCAAGCCCAGGTACGCTTGAAGGGGTGGGTTTGGGGGTCCAGGTTTCCCATCGTAGACACCCCTTTATTTATTTTAAGAAAGACCTAAATGTTAGGTTTGGAGGCATTTCCACCCTCCTTGCTCTGGGGCTCTAACACAAATGGCACCAAGTCCTTTCTCGTCTAACCGTCAGGGGTGCTTAGAAAACCTTTATTGCAGAACTGCTCACAGTCTTTTCCAGTGTGGTTGCTTTGGGGGTTTTGGAAATGTTAAAATAACACAGGCCAGTGTGGATCCCAGGGGAATGCAGGGGAATGCAGAGCTGTTCTCAGGGAAACTTCACAAATCTGATTTGGTGATGCATTTATTATTTTTTTTTTTTTGGTGATACATTTTTTTTAATTGAAAAGATTATGACAATTCTCTACTAAGTACACACATTAAGGCTGTTAAAACTGAAAAAAAAAATTCTACTTCTGAGTGGGATTTGGGGAAATGAGAATATTTACCATCAGAACAGTGTGTCATGGTGCCAGGCTTGTGCAGAGCAGGTCTAACCCACAGCAGAACCTGAACTGGGCTGGGGCACGGCAAGTGGCCACAAGGCCCACAAAGGAAACAATCGTCTCTCCCCCTTTTCCTAGGGTGGTGGTGGGTAAAACCATCTTCCACCTTCTCCTGTCTCCTGAAATCTCCCTCCCAAGTCCCAGAGTCCTGTGCTTCTTCCCAGAGCTCAGTAAGGCCTCCACACGAAGGCAAGACTCCAAATCGCCCGCTGGCCTCCCCGCCTAAAGGTGTGTCCTCTGGGAGCAGCTAATCTCCCTAAATGATCCTGCTGGTCTGAGCCATGCTAAGGTGGGCAGGACGAACAAGCCCATGAAAAAACGTGCCTTATTAATCCAGGGACTCTCTACCTGCCTTCATCTCAGACTGTGGGTGCAGCATTCATGGAAACGTGCAGGAAATCAAGAGAGGATCAGGGCCAGGACGAAGACAAGGGAACACACCCAGACAAACCTTGCCCAGGACGAATTCCAAGGCAGCCTTCCCAAGCTATTTCTATTTCAAGGTTCTCAAGGGAGCCAAGTGACTTGTGTTTGGTTTACTTTGTGTGACAACAGGCCCTGTGGCAATGGTGGTGGGGGGCTCAGGATGAGAGGAGGGGGGGCACCACTGGGCCTGAGACGCCGGAAGAGTGAGAGCCGTTTGCCTACACGCCTACTCAATTAGATTTCATGGGTTTGCCACCCTACTTAACCGCGTGTGATCTTTCTGGGCTGTATGTATAAGAGAGAGGCAGATGGAAGGTCAGAGAGGTAGGAAAAGGCAGACATACAGCCAGTCATAATTCTGACGACTATCTGAACTATGGAAATCCTTTTTGAACTGTGATGAAACTTGGTCATGCCCAAGCTCATCTTGCTGCCTGAGTCCTACGACGAGCCTGAATTCCACAATCCGCAGGCTCCACAGTGCTGAGGGGGTTAAGCCAACTGCTTGTGGGGCTGCCATACAAACCTAGGGCACGGATAGGGCCTCTACATCCATTTTCTAAAAAGTGAACTGATTCCCGCAGGATGACATCTGGCAAGCAAAAAGAAGAACACCAGTACCCAGAATCTCACCTTTTTACCTGATGCCTGGAATATCTTAATTAAGGTACCCGATCTTCGATCAGCTCTAAAAATATAAACCTATGGAATAAAAAAAAAATCTAGTTAAGATAGAAGCCATGACCAAAGATATTGACCAGCATCCTCCTGAGACTCCTACTTAAATTAAGGCCAATCAGGCATACGGCAGGTGCTTGTGAGCTGGCTGATGAAGTTCCCCGCACTTCACCAACTCTGCAAAAAAGAGTGTCCTTCCATCCGGAGGCACCATGCCTCTCTACCCCAAAGAGGACCCTTGATGCAGAACCTGCCAAATGACAGGACTACAGAAGTTCTTTTCCAAGATGCATCTTACAGGAACAGCATCCCATGAGAACCAGGGTAGGGGACCATCCTGCGGGGTAAGAAGCCACCACCCTAGTGAGAATGTGTTTGGGCCCTGACACCAGAAATGAACAATCCTGCAGGCCAGAGGTCTAGTCTAGGGCCCCCGGGAATTGGACAGTCACCAACTTCATCAACTACGACCCGTCTTCCCAGCACCTCTCCCATGATCCGACCAAAAGAAGTGTTTTCAGGTTCTTCATTGTTAGCTGAATCCAGGATTCTGTCTGGTTTTGCCAGTTATAAATACTGTTCTCAGCCTTAGACCTATCTTAAAACAATCACAAGCATCTGCAGGGAACATGATGCAGTCAGACCCAGTCTGTGTAGCTGGGAGAGAAGGAAGCACAGAGACCCCTGCATGGCCGTGAGCCAGAAGGCAGGCTCTGTTACCAACGCTGCAGAGAAGCCGGGTCACACGCACACAGCATCTTTCCTGGATCACATTATCAGCGTGGGGACGGCTCTCAGTGCTTCTTCCCTCCACCATGTAGAGGAATTCACGTGACCCTGCAGGACCCACCTCTTTCCTGACTTTATCAGAGTTCATTGGCTGGCCTCCCCCGGTTCAGTGGCCTGTGTCTTTAACTGGTTTCATTCCCCGAGATCCTTTCTCACTAGCAACCGTGTTAGAAGGGAGGGAGGCACAAGTTCCAGAAACGAGAGCTGAGGCTCCTAACTCCTGCCTGGGAGGATTCAGGTAAACGATCCTCAGGATGTACCAGTCAGCTGACCAGACAGACATGCTGACTCAAGGCTCCAGTGAAGAGTAGTCTTGTCCCATCTGGGCCTCTCTAAAATCCAGACCCTACTCTCTGAGCCCCTGGAGATATGGCCATACACTATACACTATGTTAAGTCCACTCCTTGGGCTCGGGTCCAAAGATCACTCCCTAGTTCAGATTTTTCTATTAGAGACCGTATGGAGTTAAAAATGCAGGTTCCTGACTCACACAGACCTACCCAATCTAGATTTCCCATACCCTGCAGCTAAAGAATCAGAAAACATAGCTCTTCATACTCTCAGCCCCACAGAGGCCACAATTCCTAAAGGGACCAGACAGACAGCCCTAGATCCATGGGGTATTTCCTACAGCCTGGGCAGATCCTTTAGGAAAACTGACCCACATATCCCCTGTTCAGTCTTTGGACTGAACCAGTCTTGGCTCTAAATCACTGGGGAAATAAATCTGACACTCTAGGTCCCAAGATAGAAAAATAACATCCCAAAAATACATGAGACTTGGCTCTATTAAGTCAAAGTCAAAATTGGGAAGGGCTTGGCAGAGTGGAGAACTTAAAGCTGGACAGTGCTGGACACCATTTCTTCAGAGGTCGCCATGATGCCAAGGGTCAGTCTTAATAAGCTCACACACACAGTCAGCTGTTGAACACAGCTGAGATGACAACGTGCAAAGATTGGAGAGGTCTAGGAGTAGCATTCACTCTCTGATTAAGCTTTCAATGTTCTCTCAAAAGCTGTTGAAAGGAGGTTGATGGGAGACTCCTCATTACTTCGTCATTTACCTGCCAGCCACCCAGGAGAATGTTCAGATCAATCAGTGGCAAGCCTCTACACCAGGGGCAGCACACTCGCCCTGTGTCTGACCCCGTGCTTTCCACAGATTTCTCTCCTCACCTTCCCGATGCCTTCGTCCTGGGGGGCACCTCCTACGACATCAGTGGTGGACGGGCGAGAGAAGGAGCCGGCCGTCACTGCATAGCCTGTGAGGGATGGGCATTAATGGAGGAGAGGATGAGCCAGGGCAAGGAAGAAAAAGACTGATCTGAGGAAAAGGCTTCTCAAGCATCCCTTGCCTGGACAATTACGACCCAGCTATTCTTGGAACGTAACCTCCAAGGGAACAAATTGCATCTGTTAGTCTTCTCCTGCTGAACCGGCTCATCTCATAAAAAGTCAGGGTCACAAAAACACCAGGGCAGGAAAGAGTGCTTTCAGAGGTAGTTTAATACGGGTACTGTGCTAAATACTTCACATCTTTTTTTTTCTGAGATATAATTTTCATATGGTCACATGCATATATCTGAAGGGTAGAACCCGTGGAGGTGTCCACAGGCACACAGCCATATAAGTACAGAACCCAAACGAGAAGGCTCCCTCCTGCCTGTTCAAGTCAATGCTTCCTACGGGAAGCCACTATTCTGTTTCTATCACTATATGTTTCGTTGACCTGTTCTAGAACTCCACTCAACGTAGCACCTGCGACATTCATCCATGTGGAATATAAGAGCGTCCATTTCCTTTTATTGTGGAGCAATGGTCTACTGTATAAAGAGATCAGAACATCTTTATTCTACTGCTAGGCATCTGGGTTGTTCCCAGATATTCCTGCTTTCCTATGAATAAAGCAGTTGGGAACATTCCCGTGCATGTCTTTGGATGCCAGCAAATTTCAAGTGCACATTTCTATAAGGAAGGTATGATTATTTCTTCCATTTCACAGATGTAGGAACTGAGACTAAGGATGGTTAAGTCACATCCTCCAGATAACCCATCAAAGTTCAGATCCAATCTGTGCATCTCCACAGCCTCTGCTGTTAACCACTGTGCCATCTTCTCTCCTAAGAGAAGGCAGAACAAAACTGACAATAGGGGGATGGGTATGGATGAGAAAAGAATCTGGATGTAAAAGGAATCTAGAAACAAAGGTAAAAGTTGTCTGAGCTTAGTCCAAATGTCTCCTGCTTCTTGAGAGCCTCATGGGCTGGCTGAAAGTTCTTCCTTGGCCAGCAGAGACTTTATGGATGGCCATATATTCCCCCAAACCTTGTCTTTACCTTCAAACCCTGGTGCTGTGATCACAAGCTGTCTGGATTTGGTGATGACACCATATTGTGATCAATTCTTATTGACCCTGTGGCCTGACCCATTACCAAAGTGCATTATGTGTGATATCAAAGCCTTAGGTGACCTTGAAAGCCCTGTAGCAATAAGGGTCTCTGGTATACACAGGGAGAAGCCACCGGCCCCTCAAGTTCAAAGATCTATCCTGGACCCCAACGCCACACCCAGCAACACTCTTTGAGACTCTGGGCTCAGAAACCACAAGTTTAAGCCCCCACTTTGCTATTTACAAGCCACATAAGCTTGGCAAGTTATGTACTTCATGGGTAATGATAGTTGCCTCATAAGGTTGTTTCAGGAATGAAAAGTAGCAGCATCCAGAATGATAGCACTTAAGACATGACCTAAGGAAGAGAGCCACACAAACTCTTCAGGATCACAAGCCAAGACAGCCTATCTCTGTCCCTCAATAGTGCAATATAAAGCTTGCCTGGTGGCTGTTAAATTCTATCTATTTTCTTTCTAGAAGGTTGAAAGAATTGAGAAAATAAGAGAAATATCTCTGAGCCTGTGACTAACCTTCAGCATTATGCTGCCATCCGTTATGTTAATTTCTTTCTTATTATTTCTTTTTTTTTCTTTCAAAGATTTTATTTGATAGCAAGAGACAGCAGAAGCTGGGGGAATGGGGGAGGGAGGGAGAAGCAGGCCCCCACAGAGCAGGGAGCCCAGTGCGGGGCTCTACCCCAAGACCCTGAGCCCAATCATGACCTGAGCCCAAAGCAGACACCCAACTGACTGGGCCACCCAGGCTTTCCTGGTTCTTACTATTTCTATTTGCAACTGGTGTGACTAGGAGAGGCCACAGCCAAAGAAATACCATGGAAAACAAGGATTCTACTGCACTCATTTTGTATCTGAACTTAAGTAATTGCTCAAGTAAGAAAAAATTTTGCTTCCTTGGACATTCAACTGTCAGCTCTGTAATTAAATCAGTTTTAATTCAGACCCCCTACTTTGTTCTCTACCCACTGGGTGTGAGGCTCCATGTAAGGTGCCCCGGCTAAGAGTGTACCTAACTAGAACAATGGATGTGAAAGCCAACAACTCTACTTTCCACCAGTAAATGAACCGTGTGTGAGCCATGTGAGAATCGCTCCCGTGTCCCCTTCTTACCTGTCCCATCCCTGAGCTACTCACCCAGGTAAGTGTACCGCCTGTTCATAATGGCTTCATCATTCAGTTTGAAATAGGTGTTGTCCGTAAGGTTCAGCACTTTGACTGTCCCGGCCCAATAAAATGACCCTGGGGCGCCCATCACCACCAGCTCCTACCAAAGAGAAACCCAAAAGTAAATAAACAGGGACGGAAGCTGAAGAGGGGAGCAGGTGGTATAATGAGAACCACGGCCATGGCCAACAACTCAAAGATGCCTCACACCAAGGACTTTCTTTGGCTGGGTAATGAAAACTCCATCGCCAGATTCCCTGGTGTTATGGAATCCATCATACACACGGGGTCATCAGGAGTAAAGACAAGGATAACTGAGCAAGAATGAAGAACATACCAGGTCCCTATACTACCCACGGATAAGCTCACGCATACTTCATCTCCACAACAGGATCAAATAAGTAAATGACAAATATTGCGCATTGTCCTGAATCAGAGAATTCCAGGAAACAGTGCTCACGAAAAGACGCCACCGCCTCACCCAGCCTGGACCCCAAACCCACCTGCCCCATACAGAGCATAGAGAAAACAATAACCAGAAGCATCTTTGCAAAAAACCATGCACTGACACTCCAAGGAAATCCCTCTCCCCAGGGCCCTCACTCAGGATGCTCTTCTCAGGAATGACTGTACAGCTTGCTTTTGTGGCCACTGTGGCCCACTGCAAACCCACAACAAAATCAAGAGAGCAAAGAGGCACACCGAGGGAAGGAAAGAGACCCAGGACAGCAAAAGACAGGACTGCTATTAAAAACAGACCCAGAGGGGCACCTGGATGGCCCAGTAAGCTAAGCATCCAACTCTTGGTTTTGGCTCAGGTCATGATCTCATGGGTCATGGGATCTAGCCCCACAGGTTCTATCCCTCCACCCCTCTCCCCACTCATGTGTGCGTGCTCTCCCTCTCCCTAAAATAAATACGTTAGTCTTTAAAAACAACAACAACAACAACAACAACCAGAAACACAAAGATACAGTGATCTCCAGCATTTGCATTAGGGGCAAATGGCCCTGTACCTTCAATGGGGACAAGAGTTGGTTTGAGTTACAAAACCATCTAATGAGCAGTACTGATGAGAATTTCAAGTACTTCCAAATGAGACACCTGCCTAAGGAATTCAGCATGAATAACTACATGCCTTCACCCATAAGAATAGGCATTGTCACTGGGCAAAAGAAATTTGGAAATGATCTAGGGGCCTCTGGGTGGCTCAGTCAGTCAAGCGTCTGCCTTCAGCTCAGAGTCCTAGGGTAGATTCCCACATCAGGCTCCCTGATCAGCCGGGAGTCTGCTTCTTCCTCTCCCTCGGCCCCTCCCCCCTGCTTATGCACTCTCTCTCTCTCACTTTCATGTTCTCTCTCAAGTAAATATGTAAAACCTAAAAAAAAAAAAAAAAAAAAAAAAAGGAAAGAAAGAAAGTTGGAAATTATCTAAACATCTAACATCTGGCATCCAAAATCACAGTACGCCCATTCAACAGAATCCTGCAGCAGCAAAAATGCTGTAGATGTAACAGCCCTGAGACAGGGCCACACAGCACTGAGTTAATGAGGAAAGGCCAAAAATATGTATGCTATGATCACGTTTTATAAAAGGAAAAACAACTGTGGACAGACCGACAAAACAGAGCCCAGAAGGAGAAGCCCCAAACACTTGTGTTTTTTTTCCACTGGGTGACAGGATTACAGGGATCTCTCCACTCTCCTCCCTTCTTCGGTCACTTTGTCACTTTCTCTTTCTCTTCCTTTTTGTCTCTTTCTCTTTGTCTCGTTCTCTTTATCTCTCTCTCATCCCTAAAATTTATTTTGTATTTTTAAAACTTCTACTTTTGTTTTTCTTAATGTTTTATTTATTTATTTGAGAGACAGATTGCACAAGCATGGGGAACAACAGGGAGAGGAAGAAGCAGACTCCCCACTGAACAGGAAGCCTGATGCAGGGCTCGATCCCAGGACCCTGGGATCACGGCATGAGCTGAAGGCAGATGCTTAGCTGATTGAGCCACCCAGGTGCCCAAGTGTTTTTCAAAATTCCAGAACAGTGATTAAACACTGACAAGAAAGTCACCTCAGAAAACACACAGTACATTCAAAATGGAGCACACTCTGTGTGGAAGCTGTTCTGAGGGGAGGTGCCCACCGCCTCCTTGCATCCACCGGATGGCCCTGGCTTCGGCTTTCATTCCTTCCTTCCCCAACAGGGAATCCCTTCTTTTGATTATCTGGGTTTCCCAAAGTACCTATACTGCAATAAGAAATGATAAAAATTATTTTCCTAACAAAATCATTAATTTTTCAGTCAATAATATTAAGCACCTACTATCATGTATGAAAGCTTATACTTGATACACAGACCAATAAAGTCCCTCTGTAGGACATTCCCAGGGGAAGGCAACATGGAAACATACAAAACAATTTTGAAAAAAATTCTATACAAATAAAGACAATTTCAGGGGAAACCCCTCAGCTGCACAAAAACCCCAAAGGTGCAAGCCATGCAGACAGGAGACACTAGACCCTGCAATGTCACCGAGACCTCTCAGTGCCAAAGCACACCCACCCCTCCCTTGGCCCCTCGAGTCCCCACACACTGTTCTATTTCAGAAACATCCACCCAGGCTAGCCCTCTCTGCAGAGCTGGCCTCACCACTGTCAGAAGGGGCTGCTTTCCGACAAGTGCCTGAAGGCTAGATCTTGCTACGAGGCTCCTGAGTTTCTGATGACAATATATGAAGTCACCCCGAAGTCCACAGAGCAAATGTCTGAACAAGCCAGAAGCATCTGAAGAGAAAGCAAAGAAAGATCGCATGGGCAGGAGAGCAGGCATGCAACCGTGGTGTAAAGAGGGCGAGGCTTTGAACAACTCGTGTGCTGTGGGTCATTTGGGAAAGAACCTTAAGCAGTAGGGTGTGAGCACAGACAGAAGATAAGCCACCAGATCCTGCCTGAATGGCATAGTGCTGGTGATTCAGGAAGGTGGAGACCAGGAAAGACTGTGGAGGAACACTGCATTCAGGTTCTGAGGTCCTAGCCACCCCCACGGGAGCTGTTGGTAAGTCGGCCTCTCTGAAGCAACCCACTGTTCTATAAAAACGTATCACTTCCTGCACTCAGAGCTCATCACTGAAAAAACACAGGTGGTGAGTGCATCCATTAGCTCCTGTCCCCTGTACTCTTCTGTTCTGTGTAAGGGGCTGGGCTAGTTCTAGAAGGAACATTAGACAAATGATTGGTTCATCAGAGGAGAGAGACTTTTTCCTTGGCCTTGAGCTCAGAAAGGAATTTGGAATTGGGTGTCCAAACGCTCAGGGCATGAGGGAACATAATGACCATTGGCCTCGGTGCCAGGGGCACACACTCATGTGTAGAGCTTCTCCACCTGCAGCTCCTCCTAAACCAAAGCCCTGACCGTCACCAGGGACCTGTAAGGCTCTCTGCGACACCAGGCGGTAGGCACACTGTGTTCTGATCATTTAAATCAATCCAGCATACCAATGGAGAGTTGTATGTCTAACCCATCCCCGCACCCGCTCTCTCAAACATCACAGAGTTTTAATAGGACAAGGTAATCTCTCTCCTCAAAAACCTTTAAACCAAAGCTCTGGTCTGTCTTCACTCTTGTCTTTGTGCTAAGGCCTCCTTCTCCCTCGGTTCAAACTAGACAACCTGAGGCTGAGCCTGAGACCCACAGGGCTGGGGCAGGGGCAGGGGCAGGGACAGGCAGGAAAATAGTGTCTTCCTGGAACTCCCTGTATCTGGGTTTCCCATTCACCAGGGATGCTGCCTGTGCCCTTTCAGCACTGGTCACCAGTGCCAGGAAAATGGCATCAGTGCCTAGCTCCCCACCACCCAGGAACAGCCAACACAATGGTACACACCACCTAACTCCCATGTGGAATGCCTCCCATAAACAGAGCGGACCTTTACCCCAGCTGCATTTATTAGCAGAACCTCCAGAGGCACAAGGGTGTGCTTCAGAAGCCGAGGACTTCTCTCACCGCTGCAAACTGGCACAGGCGGGCAGGGGGCAGAGGCTCACTCGGGATCTACAACAGAAGTCTGCATCCAGACTTCTACCCGGGGTCTCCAGGCTCCCATGGCAGTGCCTCAATGCTAGCAGGTTGGCCCATGTCTTCTCTTGCTACTCATAAAGTATCTGTACCCAGGCTACAAAAATAAATAAAGTTCCCAGGAAGCTCTCCTTTATCCTCAGTGACGGGATGAAACTCACGTGGCATCTGTAGCTCAAACAGCTTTCGTAACCCCTGGGTCACAGACCTTCAGGCACCACGGGCCAGAGTAATTGGAGGCCACAGAAGCATACCCAGCTTGCCTATCCTGTGCAGGGACAGGCTGGCCCGCAGCGAGAGCCAGCCCAAGTTACAGGGTCTGCAGGAGGGCAGGGGAGGGGAGAAGTGCTACATGACCCCTTCAACCACATTTCCTGCTCAGCCTCCAACAGCTGAAGTTCCAGAAACAAGAGAGGCAGTGAGTTCAAAGACCTCCTGTTCAGGGAGGCCAAAGCCTAGGGCACCCAGGACACAGTGGCCAGGTCAGAGGATTGAGCCTCCCTGACACTAGCCCCACAACCCCCCATCCATGCACCACGGCCCCAGGGCTATTTGCCCAGCCAGCACATGCTGAGGCTCCACAGTTCCCAGAGTGTGGAGTTTCAATAGGTCCTCCTGTTCTTCTGGTCATCTGGAGCTTACACAGCCCCTGGGCTCCCCTTCACCCATGCCCTTTCTGCTCCTCCCACCAAGCCCTCCTTCCACCCAGCCCCAGTGCCCTGTCTTCCCTGACCTTCCAGCTGCTGAGACCATAACGACATCCCCTCCCTGGAAATTCCTTCTCTCCCTCAGTTCTCCATCAACATTTCTGATGTGTTCTCATTTCTGCAACGAGTCTCCTTTTTTCTCCTCCCACTGTCAAAAGGAGGTGTCCTTCCCACCCCCACCCCCACCTCCACGCTGACCACAGCCAGTCCCCTCTGAGAGGTACTAGAAATGACCAAATCAGAGTTTCCAACTCAGGTTGGCTTCTGTTCCCTGTATCCAAGTATCTTCTAAAAACACCTATGAGCGTCCCACCCATCCCCTCACACTGCATGTGCTGAAAGCCCATTCATTTATCTCTCCCAGTGATTCTTCTCTAGATAGCCTTCTTTCCCCTGGGGCACCCCTGTTCTCCAGAACCCTGCCTCAAAACCTACTTCCTCCATTCCACAGTCCTCAGCCACCCAACCCACTGATACTGCCTTTATATCTCCCATCCCTCTGGTCATTTTTTCTTCCTGCTCTGTTGTTTTGGTAGCTGAACCACATCACAGCCTCCCACCTGGTCTCCCTCCGGGCCCTCCCACTTTTAAAGCCCCAGGGACCCCAGCCCACATGGCCTCTCTCTCCCAGCACTGCCATCCACAGTGTCCGTCACCTGCTTGTGGACTTTCAGGGGTGCTCTGCTGCCTCCCAGGCAGAGTCAGACTCTGCTAGACCTTCCAGAGAAATGACAGCCTCAGAGACTGTACAATCTCACCGAGCACAGAGATGGAAGGAGAGTGTGAGCCTGGCATACCGCAGAAGGTATTTCAAATCAATGGAGAGGAGGCGACCTGGTGAGCAGGCCAACAGGAGAACAATCAACTACACATTTAGGGAAACAATGAGGTTTGTTTCTACCATACAATGTTTGCAAAATGAAATCCAAGCTGTATTGAGAGAAATCTTAAAAAAACAAAAACAAAAACTGTAAAAGTACTAGAAAAGATTACAGGTGCATATTTTGTATTCTTAGGAGAGGGAGAGTCTTCCGGAGAAGTTGAGAATCCAGAGAGAAAATGACTGATGGACTGAAGTAATAGGACTGTGTGATGGGAATGCAATAAAGACACCATCAGCCAACTCAAACTGATACGAGAAAAATTTACAACATGTAAAAAGAGATGAGATTAGTGTTAAAGCTATCTTAGAAGTTTCTAAAAATCAGTTAATCAAAAGGAAGAAAAAATAACAGAACAATGGACCAAGAACATAAATAGGCAATTTCTAGAAAAAGATAAATGGTCAATATTTGAAGAACAATAAACTACACTCATAAGCAGATAAAGGGACATTTTAGCAAAACGAGATGTCTTTATGAGAAAAATTAGTACTGGTGAGAGGCTGTAGGAACGATGACACACAACTGGGGGCCTGTCGGTCGGCAAACATCTCTGGGGTGCAATTTGCCAGGATGTACCCAAATACAGGTGCTGGACAGCTTTGGCCCCAGCAATTCCTCTGCTATGTTTGTCTTCTGCGGAAACGTGTACTTGTGCACAAAGATGCCGTGTGTGGGGACCCCCAGCCCCATGTGGCCAGGGAGTCCCAAGTCCCTGAGGCTGGAGGAGGGGCATCTGGGAGGCTAGGTAATGGGTGAGGCAGGAAAGGTAGGGAGACCCAGGTGGCCACACAGAGGAGTCTGGATATCACTGTACGTATGATGGGAAGACAGAAGGCTCTGAGCAAAGGAGTGCCTCAGTATTTTTCTCATTCTGGGGAGGTAGCTGTGGCTGCCCTCTAGGAAGAGGCTGTCAGGAGGCAGGACAGGAGCAGGGAATCGGGAGGGTCTTGTAGTGGCACTCTGGGCAAGACAATGGTCCCCCAGGTTTGCAGGGCAGCAGGGGAGGCAGACAGAAATGGAGGCCTCTGGGATAGGTTCTGGGAGCACAGGAAGCAGGACTCCCTGATGGCTTGGATATGGGAGAGGAAATAGGAGAGGGATCTTGCTCACTGGGGTCTGAGCAGCGAGGACGTTTGGTGGCACTGTCCACGGGGCCTCCCACGGATTTCTGTGTAGACAGTCATAAGAACTGTACCAAAGTGACAGTGAAGGGATATAGTGAGAATGAGAGGGAGCAGACAGCGGGGTCGGGGGAAAGCATGTCATGTTCGTTGGTCTGAGACTGAAAGACAACATTTCTGACTTTTCTACCCTTTCTATGTTGCTTTCTGAGTGAGATGTTGCATTGCTGACTGTCCGCTTTTTAATTTAAATAGCCATTGCAGAAATTAAGGTGGGCAGCTCTGCCCTGGATACTGCAGCTCTCTGCTGTCCTAGAGCAAGAGGAGGAGAGAGAATGTCAGAAAGCCAGGCCCATGGGCCCGGACACAGTGTGGATTCTAATCTACCATGTGATGGGAAGCCGCAGAGACAGGATGACAGGGTTTGATCTGGAAAGTTTCCTCAGGCTGTTTTGTAGAAAACACAGGGACGGGGGTGGAGAACAGAGGCGGACTGAGGTGATGGACATGTTCTCAAGCTAGAAAGGCTGCGGCTACACAACACCGTCAATGTACTAAATACCACTGGACTGTTGGCTTCCCAATGGTCAAAATGGTCAATTTCATGTTATGTGTATTTTACTACCAAAAAAAAGAACAGATGCAGGGAGACCAGTTCAAGACCAGAAGACCTCCAGGTGATGACAAGGACTCTTCCAGAAGGGTGATGGTGGTGGGCAATTAAAGCTGTCACATTTGGGATATGCTTAGGAGGTTAAAAGAATAGGACTACAGATGAGTCAGAAATAAAAGGTACTTTTTTGTTTGGGCCTGAACAACTCCATGGATGCCTGAGCCACTTACGGGACCCGGCATGGAACACTGCACACGGCAGATGATCAAAAGACATTCGGGAAATGAGGGGCTATTGTGAAGGGTGAACTCACAGTAGGTAAGAATCACTTAAGAACCATCCCTAAAGTTGTAGTGTCAGGCCAAAGATCATGGTGGTACATCTATGAAGGTACAGAAGTATTCAAGTCAACTGTCTTTTGGAATTTGGAAAAGAGGTTGGCTGAGTTATGTATGAAATCATGAAGTCTCTCCACATAGGGAAGAACGATAGGAGGGGATGTATAATACACCCTCCTCAGTGCCAGCAACGACACAAACTTGATTAAGCACCACCTTACCAGCGCCCCTTTGAATCAGTTCCTTCCCTGGGGCTCAGGGTCCAGACGACTCTTTAGAGAAACTGTATAAATAGGTTCTCCTCCAAATGAGCCTGCTCATGCCTCCCCGCTAACCGTGGTCTCTGGCCAGGAGGAGCCCCCATCAGCATCAGTCACCTTCCTTGGATGTCACATCGAGGGACCAGAATCTACTCCCTCCCAGCTCGAGTGTGTGGGGCCTCGGCAGCTCCATCTCAAGGAACTACTGAGACCATAATCTGCCAGGCAACCAACATTGGCAAGAGAGCAGAAACACCCAAGGGGCGACACCCACCTCAGTGAAGAAGCCTGCTATCCCGGCTTGGCAGGAGCCATGTTCCTCTCCGTACTTCTTCTTGTACTCTAGGGTGGAGGGAAGGAAAGAAAAAAACCACAGCCTCGTCAGTGTGTGCCGGTCGTATGGAGGGGCCGCCGAGTGTGCTGGCCACTTCCCCGTGCACGGCTATGGGCTGGGCCTGGGGACGCCTTCCAGACCGGGGCATGGAAGGAAAGTCTCCGAAATCCACCAGACCTCAAAAATCAAGGCTCTGGTGCCATCAGGCCCGAGACAGCCAAGCGCCCCAGTGGGCTCCCTCCACGCCTGTGGGGGAAGAGCAGCAGCAGCCATGGTGATTAAGTGGGAGGCCAATGACGATTATTTCATTTACTTCAGAAAGGATGGAGAGCCCCAGTAGGAAAAGGAGTTGAAAACATGACCCTGTGTGGAGTGCCCTAGAGGACAATTAAGCTGCCAAACGTGACGCTCCACAGAGCTGGAGGCAAGATGATTCCTGCCATCCAAGTAGACAGCGGCCAACGGAGCCTGGGGCTACAGGAAGAGGATCCCCGCTAGACCTGCTCCGGCACTCAGTTACACCATCCCTGCCAGTGTGTGGTGATGCCACACGCCAACATCTCCATCCTCCGACGAAGGGGAAGATCTCTCCAGGTCAACAGAAACACAAATGGTTAAGTGCTTTTCCTCCACCATTCCCTCAAGGTTCCCAACATGCTGGCCCTACAAAGGGGCCTTCTGTGCTGCGGTTTTAAGTTGGAAGGAAGAGCGTGTAACATGTTCTAGGCCCTGTTAGCCACACCCACTCATGCCATTCCACTGATCTCTTATCCCTGGGAGGCCATATTGCCATCTGTGAAGAGGCAAAACTCCCAAGGCTCAGAGAGGTTAGGTGCATTGCCCAAGGTCACACAGCCAAGATTCACATACATTCACCTCTGTGGCCCATCGAAGGTTCTGTGGAGTGAGTGATTACCCAAAACCCAGGAAGTGACCAGCCAGTTGAAATCACTACATAGGTAAAGACAGAGAGAGGAGCTCAGCTGTGTGATCAGGAGGGTCAGAGACAGAGAGTTCAGCTCAGATGACTCAAATTAATTATCCTGCCAGATGAGAGCTCATGGCTGTTCCTGGGCGCTTGGGAATGCAACAAAATAACCCAGCGATCCCCCAGGTCACCCCGGGCTCATGGCAAGTCTCGGGTACCATTAAAGGCAATATACTGAATTTTGAAACAAAAGAAATAATATGAAGGAACAATGCAGCTGTGATTGCAACATAGGGCCACTTCCTGCCACTCTGAGAGTGTCTGTGTGAGAGGAGAAGGGGGAAAAGGGCCCTGGGGAAATATACAGAGTAATTCAGTTTCTAACAACACTCACCGCAGAGCCTAGTAACATTTTCCAGTAAGTGGCCATTAACCGACTGCTAAATTACAATGGAATGTCAATTGAGTTACTCCTCTTCCTTGTGAGGGCTAAATCAGTTCCTCCCTCCTTGTCCAGTTACTCCAAGGAGAACTCATAGGCCTGCCAGAAAGCAACCCAGGACGATGGGACTCGCCTGTTCTCTGAAAAGTCTTGCACCCCGGCAGGGAGTGGGGCTTGTGAAAGTCATAAAGAGATCGTGCATCAAACTGTCCGATGGCAAGAAATAATAAAATTTAATAGTAAGGCCTACATCAAATAGCATCAGGGAAAGAAGGATCAAAATGTCCCAACCCGAACAAAAAGTCATATTAAATCTGGAAGGTCTGGCAAGAAGCATATTCACCCCCCACGGACTCGAGGGGTTAAATACCCAACTATAACTCTGAGGCAAATAAAACAAAGAAAATTCAGACCCCAAGCTACAGTGCAGGACACACCAGTTCAGCCTTATAAATTTATGACACGAATAAGAGTTACACAGCAATCTTTCATGTTTTTGTTTTGTTTTTAAAGATTTTATTTATTTATTCGAAAGACAGAAATCACAAGTAGGCAGAGAGGCAGGCAGAGAGAGAGAGAGAGGAGGAAGCAGGCTCCCCGCCGAGCAGAGAGCCCAATGTGGGGCTCGATCCCAGGACCCCGAGATCATGACCTAAGCCAAAGGCAGAGGCTTAACCCACTGAGCCACCCAGGTACCCCAAGAATCTTTCATGTTTTAAAGAAAACCTCAAGGTCTCCTTTGGAACCGGGACTCCAAAAATAGGAGATATGAAAACCTGTCTTTCTCCTCCTCATCCCTAAACTGTGCTGGACAGCTCTATGACAGAAACAAGACCCAGGGCTTCTAAGGGGACCACAGCCATACTGGGAGGTAGGAGTAACCCACTCCTGGCCTCAGGAGGAAGTCCTGTGAGATCAAGCCCTACTACCAGCACCCCAGCCTCAGCCATCATCAAGGTACTGTTAGAGGCCAGCCCCAGGGTCCCCAAGCTGGGACTGCTTCATCAGGGATCTGAGGGTCAGGGACACACAGAAAACAGGCCCCCCCCCCCACTGGCTTTGACTTCCTGAGACACCAGGGTCTACACCTGCCTTCTTGGGAGTGCTCTAGAGCAAGGAATCAAACCATGTGGGGCTCCTGACTAGTACCCATAACTCTGACCTCCCAGAAACTTCTTTAACTCTTGGTTAGCCACTTCAACTTGGAAAGAGGCTCCCCACCTCATGCTTCCACCCCCACCCCACCCCATCACTCCTCTTCAGCTTCTCTGTCCGTGTAATCTCGCAGCACAATGTAAATGATACCCTCTCCCCACCACAGAATGCCTCTGTTCATCATAGTTGATGGTTTATTCAACACCAAGGTGAACTCATTGATCTCACTGCCCCTAACACGCCCTTGTGCCAGTTACTGGTATGTGCTAGTGCTGGTGTACTAAGGGAAGGTGTGCACACACGTTTCTCTGTGCACAGACTCAAAGCCCAGGTGGAAATGAGACAGGAGCAGGTACATTTCTCCAGCCGCTAAGACTCGAACTCTCAACCTGCTTACCTTTGAGGCCCCTGCTCTGCCAGCCCTGCCTTCTGTCTTCTTATCAGTCCGGCTCCCTGACCTCCACCCCCAGCCTGGCTTGGAAAGGAGTTGCATCCTGAGAACCAGGAATCCTGAGTTCTCCACCCAGGGCTACCACTAACCCCAGAGACCTAAGAGTAGTGGCAGTTGTGATTGGAGCTCGACAGGGACCCAAAGGATTGATGTTTCTGGGCTTTCAAAACCTAGGCTGGCTAATTCTCCCCTAGGCAATCCCCTCTCCTTTGAGGCCTTAGGGGAATAGGATAGAATACCCAGATCCAGCTCCTGGGAAGGCAGGAGCTTTGAAAAGGGAGGTAGGTTTGGAGATAGGAGGATGCCCCTTCCCAGTGTCCTCAAGAAACCAACCCCCCCCCCCCCCCCCCCCCCCCCCCCGGTCACAGTCTTTCCCTCCATTGAGAAGTCCAGGCAGTGTAGGCTGGAAGGATGGGGTGGGACCTCCTCTAGTCTCCGGTGTTCCCAGAAGCACTTTTCCTGCACACACACAGGCTGGGGGCCCTGGTGCAGGCGGCTCCTGGACACGTCCACGCAGTCACCACCTGCCCCGAGGATATGGCCAGGCAGAGAGCTACAACAAGCTGGTTCCCTCCCTCACTGCCAGGGAAAAAAAACATTTCTCCATCTTGAAGCAGCAAAGGGGAATCAAGGTCAGCATGACAGGAGCCCACTGTCCTGCAATAAACCTGACACAGTTAAATCCAGGGAACTGAATCTCAAGCAAAAGATGTGGGTGAACGGGGGAACTGGAAATCACCTGGAGGAGGCAGGAACAGTTTGGAAAGCTCTGTCTCGCTGCTGTGGGTGGATTTGGGTTACTTGGCCTGTGTCACAAAAAATTCATTAAGTTGTATGGCTCCTCCACTCTAAAAATGGTAGTATTTTCCTTGGTTTAGCTGCCGGTTTTACTAAATTCTGTCTAAACAGAAGGCAATTCAGAGAGAGAAAATACTGGTTTCCAAATGTTCACAACCCACAACTCAATACATGGGACTTACACTAATGAATTTTAATTCATTCAAGAATTAAACTGGGTGAGGTCACTTCCTGAACTCTTCCTGAAACGCTGGTGGGATAAAACCAGCCCATGGAAAGATCAAGATCTACAGGCGGTATATTATTCCTTACTAATCTCTCTTCCCATTTGAGAAAGGTTCATCTTTCAAAGGTAGTCCTTCTAATGCATCAATTTTAAAACTGTTTTTTTCATAGCTCCTGAACTTAGCCATGAACTAGAGAAAAAAATAGGTCTCTAGTCTCAAATTATTCCTGAGGTTTTGCTCAATTTCTGAGTGAATACCAAATAATTAGTTATTGAACAATTTAGAGGACAAGTAACTTGGGTAGACAGAACTCTACTAGTAACCAGGGCATTTCAACATATAAAACTGAAAAGACAAAACTGCCCACAGTTGTGAGGGACCATAGTCTAAATGGGAAAGGGGAAAAAAGGGCAAATGACCTAAATAGCTAGGTTAGAGAGGAAGGGAAAACATTTTATCAAAATAATGGACAATTAAGCAATGGTGGGCATTAAAAGCAAACTGCACAAAGCCAGCAACTTACAACCACGGGAGAGAAGCTTTAAGAAGGGAAGAGATCACTAGAACATGTCTATAATTCGAACCCCATCCATTTCTTTTACCAATGAAGTCACTATTGCTCAGAGAGAGCAAGTAGTTTATTTAAAACCACACATCAAAGGAGACTGAGGCAGGATTAAATGGCAGGGTCCCTGACTGCCAATCTGCTTCCCTCATACCATCACGCTTCATGGAGCACAGTCACCGTGAGAATATTCTTGTCCTTGAAAAAAAAGGTTTTCCATCAATGGATGAATGGATACACAAAATGTGGTATATACATCCACTCGGTGAAACTTTTCAGTCTTAAGAGAGGAAATTCTAACATGTGCTACAATATGAATGAACCCTGAAAACATCATGTTAAGTGAAATAAGGCAGTCACAAAAGGACAAATAAATGCATGAATTCCACTTATTTGAGGTCAAAGTCATTGAGACAAAATAGAATGGCAGTTGCCAGGGCTG